AACTTTCTTAGTACCAGTCCGTCTTTCTTTGCCAGTGAGGGTGCACTTAAACTCAGGGCAGATACCTTTGCGATTGTTCATTTGATGAGTTTATGGATTAAAACTGAACTCGCCTTGAATACTTGAAATTCAGAAAAACCGGTGGACTTGTGTAATTTAGTTTGCATCGAATGCCAAGAACTATGAAAGACTGTGCCAAACTGTAGTGTGCTAGAGGGACGATTCAGGGAGTCTTCTATCAACTGCTGGATAAGCAGCTAATAATACATGAACTGAAAAATTAATTACCTTTGTGTTATGCAGGAAGTTTTTGTGCTATGGAATATAACAATGGCACGAGCATTGACACTATAGGTAGAATGTGTGTAGTGCATTTCTGTATTAGAAAAACATTTGCATTAACTTTAAAAAGTAATTTTTAAAAAAATCAAACTTAAAAAAAATTAAAAGGAGAAATTTAGTAAATAGAGGGATGATTTTTAAAATGATGATTTGATGCTAAGGAACTTGGAGCTGAGTAAATTCTTTTTGCTTCAAGAGGTACAGATACTGAGAAATGTAGTTTTTGAATTAGAAATTGAGTATCCAAGCCAGTGGCCTTTGTCCTTGGGCACGCTATCAATGGCTGCTTTTACATTCTCTTTCATCCCAGGGTGGGCCAGGACCGTTGGACTCGCTTCGAGCAGAGCATTGCCCCCTGCCAACAGTAGGCGGGTCACTCCATCTAGTTTGTCACAGTGTCGCTTGTTGCTGGACCTTTGACCTCTGCCCTGTAATGAACTATACACTACAGACAGTTACATCAGAGATATTTTTGAGATTCTGATTTGAAAAACAAAACAAAACAAAAAAACAAATGTTATTGAGAACCCTACTAGTAATCTCAGTTATGTAACTTCCAGTTTGAAGTACTGAGTGCGTTGGATTTAAGGAAGACTGGGACTTCTTTGAAGCACTTTGTGTATTTGTATTCACCTTGGAAATCATTGAATGGTCAGAGCCTGGCAGAATCCAGCGATGAACTATCAGTTTCACACTCTGCGGTTTCCTGATAGTAATTTTTAAACTAGATAAAGAAACTGTCACGGGAATATGTACACATTCACAAAATGTAAATATAGTTTTGGCAATACCTGGAATGTCTGCTACAATTTGTGTGGTCTTTGTTGTCAAATCGGTGATGTGTTTCAATATAACAAGCGTGCTCAGTTGGTAGCGTAAAACCATTCTAGATTAATGGTGGCAGTGGTGAGGTTGTGATGATGTTACTTTGCTTAGATTAGTTTTTACATAAGTGTAAAAATCCAGGTTAAAGGGTGTAAGGGTGTATTTTTTATCAGTGTGTAGTTCTGGACATCTCAACGAGAGTGGAAGTATCAAGACTTTCAAAAGAAAATACTTTGCACTCTTTGAAGTAAACTTCCTGACTCGGATTATCCACAATGTGAAACTAAAAATCAGTTGTACAAATCCAGTCACTAATTTCAGTATTTGTTAGGCATAAAGAGCTTTTCTTCAATCATTTCCCAATTAAGGTGTAGGTAGTTTCCCCTCAGACATCAGTAACAAACCCACCGAAATCTTACCTGGCAAGTTGATATTTTACTGTTTTGACATTTATTTAGCTAATTTGCTGCAGCTTTTGGCATTGTTAACAGAAATATGTCAATATTCAAAATGCTTAAAAATATATCAATTTTTTGGTACTATCTACAAGCCAATGAAAAACATGCTCCAATTGTGTTGCCCTGCCTAATCATACCAGTTGCTCTTGATAATGCAAACAGAATTCAGAATGCAACAAGTTTGATGTTCGACAAATTAAAAATAAAAATTGGCCACATGTTTGTTTAAGTTAGTTTAATCATATCTGGTGTTTTTTCCACAAAACACATTTTTATACTCTTTGTAAAAAAATAGGTAAAGTTCATAGGCTGAACATGTATGTTGCTGGAAAGTAATGGTGTATTTACCCACAGTGCTTGGTATTTGTTTCTTTGGCAATAAATGTCCTGTTAGTCAGCTGTGGTGTTTGTTTAGTCTGCTTTTGAAATAATTTTTTTTTCATATTCTGTTGAAAATAACTCCTTTTAAGTAATAGAAGATTCTCTCAGGATGGTGTGCATGCTGTTCACAAGGGTGGACCTAATGGAAACAGTACTTGCAGTTTCAAAATTTCTGCCCTTCCCAAAATGAACAGGCTCCAATCTAACACTATCACAACTGAGTAAGACTTGAACAGAAACAGAAGCATATCAGATCTAGAATAGTATTCAGATTGTTCATCTTCTGGGGTGTGATCCAAAATGAATAGAATTTTGGTAATAGAAGTGATCATCGGCATTAAGCCAGTGGAGAGAGATGCTCCTACAGCACGTGTCCTCAAGTCATCTTATGCTGGATCAATAGTACTCATGTCGACTGTAGACAAGGCATCCCTGTCCCAAGGATCAGCACCGGTATCCTTTTGTGCTGGATCAAAGAGGTATGTAAGATCAAGTTTCACAAGCATTTTGGCCATATTTTTGAAAACTTATTATTGGTTGGACTTTATTTGGTAGGTATTTATTTGAATTTGGCAGCTTTTTCTTTCATATAATTTTGGTATTAGATTGCATTCGAAATGGTCATATCATGCATCAATTATTTCACTTTAAATCACTGTTGTAGATTATTCATTTTGGTAAACATCATTTGAGCATAAATAGTTTCCTGACAAAGTGTTCACAACAGATGTTTTAGTTTGATCTAACCCAAATTTTAAACCAGACCTGGCATTTTAAGGAGGTGGGATGTTGTAATTTCATTTGCGGCTGTGCGGATGTTTCAAGGGCTTTCAAGTGATGTTTCAGTGGAAAATGTTGCCGTGGTAACTGATTCCATACTGACTGATGTTAGCCCGGTCAAATTATGAATTTTAACTGCAGAAAGCAAAACAAGGACAGAATTTTTGGGGGGGCATAAAATGAAACAAAAGCTGTTGAATGTAGCCTGTCGGTGATTTGAGTCTTTTGAGTAGCACTCCATTGAGCCTTGCTCCGGCTGCCTACAAAACTGAGATAAACGCCTTTCATATGCAAGTGGCTTTGGAAATATTTGATCGCTGATACGCACCTGCGTCCAAGGATTAAACATGAGGTAAGAAGATACTTTGAGATTTTTGACTTTTAAAACTCTGAGGAATGCATTAGTTTCTTATGTCAAATGTGTAGTTGAAAAGTTCTGCATCACTGATGACACTTGGTGAGATACATTGTTTGATGTGTAACCTGCATGTGGCAGATCCAACATTACCATGTGTCTCTGTCACCAGAAGAAAATGAAGACATGCTCTTGCAGGACCATGGATTCTAAATGCTTTTACACCTATTCCATTTGGCTATGGGCTAGGTGCCGGATTGAAGCAAACAAGAAGTTGTTGTCACAAGGCATCAGTAAGTCAGTATATACACATGGTTGATGGGAGGCAACTTCAGCCTCTTTTGTGAGGAGTTGCATAAGTTAGCCAGTGATATGATTAGTTACACGATCTTTTCTTTCCTTTAAAGTATGAAATGTGTTGTCTTTAAGAGTAGAAAAAAAGGAATAAATAGCTGAAGAACAAAATGCTATGAAGAGACTGCAATTGTTGCATTCTATTGCGTTGAGTTAAGGCGCTACGTTCTGAACTAAGGCTGAACATGTCATCATTTTCCAAGGAAAATGTTTTTAGTCATTAGAATTTAAAGGTCGTTTGATGCACCTTGATTATGCTAAATTAAGAAAAAAAGGAGCATTGAACTTCAAAAATGGTGCCTAGTAAGTGATAAATTTGTTTCAATCATTCAGAGTGAGTTCTTATCTGTTCTGCCCCTTCATCCCTACACTTTTTCCCAATTTTTTTTAATTGTTTTCCATCTCTTTTCTTTTCTACCATTTCCTTTCTGTCTTCCCCATTTCATGTTCTCTTTTTCTTTCCATCTTGTCTTCTTTTCCTGTCAAACTTTCAGTCTTCCTTTACTTCCATCTTTACCCCCTTGACTTCAAGCACTTTTGCTGTGATCCCTATAGTTTTTCCTCCATCCTTTGCTTTCACTGCCTTTCTGTACCTCACTTCTTCATTCAAATCCCCCCCCCAGCCCACGTAGCCTTTATTATGTTCTTTATAATTCCTTCATTCCAAATTCTACAGCCTGTCAAATATCATAATCAGTTTAACAGACTACTTGCAATTGGAGTATTTCCAAAAGTTTAATGATAAAAGTGTCTGTCAGCCGGCAGCCGTAGCTTTCTCCTGCCATGCTCTTTACTTTTGATTTGCTCTCGATACTCTCTACTGTTGTCTAGAAATTTGAAACGTCTTCTTTACACAATAGGCTTTTCGAGCAGCTTTGCCACGTTAAGAAAAAAAGTATATTCTGCTTGTGCTTTGAGAAATTATGTCAGCCATCAACACAGCCTCTCTTTACAAATTGGGTGTGGTAAAGAAAAACCTTTTGAAATTTTGAACTAAAGAATCTGGTATCGAAAAATTAGATTTTCATCTAAAAACCTGTGATTGAAGACTACTGTGTTGATAGTTATCCCGCTTTATTTGTGTACGTTTTTTTGTCTTCTTGTGCTGACATTTTTGACGTTATATTTCATGCAGTGCTTGGTGCCTGGATATCTCTTAAATCTCCATTTGCTAAAAATACATTTCTGTTAATTAATAGGCAAATTTTCAAGTTTCAGTCAAGATTAGACATTTCAAACTTCATGCTATGCTTATGTAGACAAATTAAATTTATGAAACCACAACACTTGCTACTTTTTCTTTATTTTCTCTTCATGGAACTTATGCAATGGTAGTACTTTATTTTTCATTCTTGGAAGTTATGCTACAGTCACAATTCTGAAGTCTGATCAAGTTACAAGGTATCAACTTTAATAAGTGCCATCTGGAACTTGCATTCAGAAGTTGTGGCCCTAAACCACATGTATGTTGTTTGTAAATCAAATCGTCACTTTCTTTACAATAGACATCAATGAGTGCGTAGCCAATTCTTGCTTCAATGGTGGAACTTGCCAAGATGGCATCAATTCTTTCACCTGTAACTGTCTCCTGGGATTTACTGGAGACCGATGTCAGATCAGTAAGTATGAACTTCAAGTACTTTGGTAGGAAACACTGATTCATACCTTTTTGTTTAGTGGAGTGCAGAAGAAAGCATGACCTACTGATTGTTTGTTACCACCCTCAAGTCTAAGTGCAATCTGTCTGCCTGAACCCATTCGGAACCAGTGTCTAATGCGCACGTGCATACTGAATTGATCAAAAGGTGTCAGCTGATTTCATTGTGATAGGTAGATACCTATTCCTTGGTCTCAATCCTGAGTTGAAGTTTACATGTACCTGATTCTTGTGTGATTTGTGCGGCCAAATCCACTTTCATTTTATAGGTATTCACTGTGTGAATGCCTTCACTACAGACTAGTAATACCTTCTTACAAAGGTGAGGAAACCAGATTCGTAGGATTTCTTAAAACAAGATCTAGAAGAGTAAAATGTCCCCCTTTATCACCATCACTCCTAGCACCTAGCCACCTTGGACCAAGCACACATCTTCCCAAAGTTCAACCCTTCAACAAATTCACTGTGTCTGTTTGAGATTGCATTTCATTGACGTGCTTTAAATTTCTTGTGATCCCAAGATATCAATGAATGTTTCGTCAATTCGTGTTTCAATGGCGGAACATGCATAGATGGGATCAACTCATTCACTTGCAACTGCGTCGGGGGTTTCACCGGAAACCGATGCCAAATCAGTGAGTTGATTTCGTTGATCCGGTAGTGCTCAAAAACTGCATGATTGCTTTGGCAACCCTCCAATAAAATGTGCCTCGTTTGTGCGTTATCTTTTTTGTTTTCTGTAAAAGTTGCAGTGAACTTTGAAGTTTGTTCTTGTAATTAACTTAAAATTTTATTCCCTCATGAAAAAGAAAAACCTGATTTGTCACAACCAAATTTACCGTACTTTGTTCCAGTTTTTGTATCTTTTATCATCTTCATTGTCATGCTGTAAGTGCGTCTGCTGTTGAGTAAGGCCTCTCTCCAGCACATCTATCTTTTCTTCTGCTATCACTAAGATAACTAAGGCATTTAGGGCCTTTCTCATCAATGTGATATTTGATGTGAATTGCAAAACAAATACCCAGATTTACATCATCTTAACGAGCAAAATCTATTGCCCATGTTTGGCCATCTAATAAGCCTTTTGCAAGTTAACTTGGACCCAAATCTAGTTCACTGAGTTCTTTAAATTCACATGAACATAACAATTTAAATTCTCCTTACTAAAATCGCTGTTGCTATACCTCGTGATTCGGGGCAAGCTTTTGTTAAATTTCGTAAGAGATGCCTTGCAACAATACATTGTTCTCAATGGATAAGAAGGGCACAAAGGAACCAGTCCATTCCAGAGATGGTGATCGCTATTTGAAAGCTTGCCCCGAATCAGGAGGTATAGCAACAGTGTCTTTAGTCAGGGGAATTCAAATTGTTATGTTTATGTGCAGTCAGATAACTCAGATCCCCAGATTTTCTTCAAATTTAACTTGTAAATGGCTTATTGGGCGTATTTCAGTACCACCTCTTCATCTTGTCTGTTTTCTGTCTTGTCTGTTCTGTTTCTTGGCCATCTGTCTCCATGTCAATATTTGGTTTTGGTCTGGTTTCCTAATGAATACTGTGTCCATATCAACTAAGATTTTCCTGATTTGGGCTTGCTTGGGCTTCTCAATTTCACTTTCATCATCTTAGAAGCAAGATTTGAAATACTGCCATCAGAATAAAACTAAAACTCTTGTCATCTTTGAGGCTGTTACCGTCATCTTGTAACTTTTTCTCTGATTTGTGTCTATAGATATTGATGACTGCGCTGGCAACCCTTGCTTGAATGGTGGGACATGCAGAGACTTAGTTGATGCCTTTACCTGTAGCTGTGTTGTCGGTTATACGGGGGCTACATGCCAGTTCAGTAAGTGTGCAAAAATTGGACCCCCCTGCAAGAGAACCCTGCACAAAAGATTCGGAGACTTGGACTGATCCAAGGGACATCCATAGAGCACCTTTGACAATTAAAATACATGAGAACATTTAGGATTTCCACTGCTTTTTAGTATAAAATTGCATGTATCACAACTGTATGAAAGAGTTTTTTTTATAACTACAAAAAAAATGAAAAAAGAGAAGTTTTGCTGCAGTCAAGTAAATTTGGAAAAACCGCACATTTAGGCTGCTCTATGACTGCACCTGGTTCAAAGCACTTCAAACAATATTGTATTTCTTTTCAATCTTCAGATATTGACGACTGTCTCAACAACCCCTGTTTGAATGGAGGGACTTGCACTGATGGAGTAAACTCCTTCACCTGTGCCTGTTTAGCAGGCTTCACTGGAAACACTTGTCAAATCAGTGAGTAATGCCACCTGCGCATCACTCCATTCATCGACGGGTTTGCATCATGGGTGGCTAACAAGTACAGTTACATGGTGTTATTTTTACCCACACTTTGTTTGAGGTTGAGTTAATGTGTACTTTAATAGGACTTGCTTTGTTGATGATTTCAGCGAAGTTAAAAAATGGTCAGCTGGTGACACTCTTGAAGCACCCCCGTCCTTCAGTCCTCGAGACAAAACTCGTACAAGTCAATCACAAGTCAGTCTTAACTCACTGGCTGTTGATTTGACCAGTGGGTTGACCAGGGTTATACACTTTACAGTTCTTGAATTCTGTAATGTGGGATATGATGTTTTGAACACCCGAGGCAAAAGCGTTGAGAGACAAAGCCAAAGGTGCTGTTTAAACGTACCTGAGGGTGTTCAAAACATTTTATCCCCATCATAGCAGTCAACAATATCTCTGTCTTTATAAGGTTTTCACTTGTTTTTCTGAGGGAAATTCAGGGTGACAAAGAGTCTTTGAACATTAGTGGTTAGCAGTCCCTGCATTATTATATACACTTAAGGGATGCGTTTATGCATGCGCGTAGTATCATACATGTACAGCACTGGGAGATCTAATGTCTAACGGTGAGTTTGACATGCGGGTATGTTGCCCTGTCACATGATTAGTCTGGGCCAATGAAAAAATGGAAATCAAGACAGAGGAGTAAAAATTCAGTATAAAAGTGGTAAAAGTAGTTATTCCCTAAAGTCGCTGACTATACCTCCATTATCTTGTTTACTTTGTTATCTCATTCCAAACTCAAGTTAAGCACATGATGCAGGCAGTTCTGCTAAGTCAAGAACCCTGTCAATAACTTGCAGCCTTGTGCACTATGTGATGCTACAGAGAGCCACTGAAGCTGTCTACACTAGTTGTAACTGATTCTACTTGTTCGTTCTGATTAGATATTAACGATTGTGTGAACAACCCTTGTCTGAATGGTGGGACTTGCATAGATGGTATCAACTTATTCACCTGCAGCTGTGTCGCTGGGTTCAACGGAAATGTATGCCAGTTCAGTAAGTGCCCATTATATCAAAATGAGTTACTGTGCAGCGGTTTCCAAATCTCTGTCTTGTCTCCATCCTGAGATACACTCCCTAGTCTCTCATGAGTGTCATCTCCTGGGTTGAGTCCCCCAGACTAAGTGCAGAGCTCTCTATTTTTTTGCCACTAAATAGCAAGTGTGCCATCAAACGTGAAGCAAAATTTTTTCCATATTTTAGCTGGTTAATTACGATGCCCAACAAAAAACCTTTTGTTTTCATGTTTTCCTCTCCAGATATCAATGATTGTTTTGCCAATGCTTGTTTCAATGGTGGTACTTGCCAAGATGGTATCAACTCTTACACCTGTAGCTGCATTGTGGGATATGAAGGCAATCGCTGTGAATTCAGTAAGTGGGAAAAGTTATGATCTTTCGTCATTTCTTTATGTCTGTTTAAGAAGTCTTGTAAAACATGGTTTGCAGTATCTTTTTGATTCAACCATAGCATTTCAGAATCAAATATTGCCAATAAATATTTTGTTAAACTATTTCTTTTGTAAAACTGACTTGAATTTTCTTCCCCGTTGCTGACAGAGTAAGATATCTTGTATAGATTTTAGAATGATTTCAGCAAGTAACTTCAGGGAGAGCATTTGTTTTGAACATCAAAGACCTTCTCAAGAATGGCAAAAGTAGAGGTTAATTTTAAAGTATTTGTACATACATATATATGTATCTTCTGCTCTCCAGACATTAATGACTGCATTGGTAACCCATGTCAGAATGGTGGAACTTGCAATGATGGTGTCAACTTATTCACGTGTACATGTCCTCCAGGATATATTGGAAATTTGTGCCAGTTCAGTAAGTTCTTAGCTAGAAATAACAATACGATTTCAACAAAAATAGATCTGTTTCCAAGTTGTGTAAATTTCAGCTTGTGCTTTTGACTAGCAAATGAAGATACTAGGTAAAATTTACAACTAAAGTATGTTTTCAGTTTCAGTGATTATCCGTCCAAGGCAAACATTTCAAAAAAAATTTAAACGTGGAGTTGTGCCTCAGTGGTGAATTGTATGAAATATTGCGCAGTTTTAGAAATCTGTAAAACTCTTATCAGTCCTCATTTGAGAAGCTTCTCCATGAAAGGTTTATGTCATACAATTAGTCTGTTATCCATTTTGAAGGTTAAAAACCATCAAGATTTTGCTTAAGAATGATACAATTGATACCCCTTTCCCTCAGATTTCAATGAATGTGGTAGCTCCCCCTGTTTAAACGGTGGGCAGTGTACTGATGGTATCAACTCCTACACTTGCTCATGTGCACCTGGCTTCATAGGCAACAACTGTGGGACAGGTCAGATAGAAAAACACCCCATGTTGATGTGTTTTATAGATGCAGTAAGCCTGTGAATTCAGTGTAATTTGTTTTAAGAAACAATTAGACAATGACTGTGGCTCATCTTTAATTGATTTCAAATGAATTTCAGTATCATCAAAATTTGGTGTCAATCCAAAGTTCCTAATCTGGTATCGTAGTTATCGTAGTACTGTAATACACAAGCTTTCCATTGAAGACTCAGGAAAACTTTATTTTGTTTCGTCATGCTTGTGTTCCTGCAAGACATTTTACTGTAATGGGAAATGGGGTCCTGTTAGAACTAGATTGGGTTTAAATAGTTTTATTGTGGAGATGCATACACCATAACATCCCCCTATTGGTACTTGATGCATATCTTGGTAGTGCTTGCCTGATGATAATCAGAAAGATATTTTTGAAACAGGTCTCTATTGTTTTTCAGTTGTTTTGTTTTTCGGTTCAGTGTTAAATCCATTGCTGATTATTTGGTATTGTCAGATGTGGATGAGTGTGGAAGTGACCCATGCTTGAGCGGAGGAACCTGCATTGACAGGGTCAACGGATATTTCTGCATGTGTGTGGATGGTTACGCTGGTGCGCAGTGTGAACAAAGTGAGTGTTAATTTGAAGTTACAGTCATAAACATATACTTTATACCTGTAGCATTGCACCAAAGAGGACAGGGGTGCTGTTTGACTGTCATAATGGTGCAGTAGCGTTGCATTTGTTGCCAATGTTGTGATTGTTACATAAATGTACCAAATAGTTGCTGTGAAAGTTTTTGCATATGCAACACATGATATCTTTGATCAAAGGAATTGAGCTAAGTAGCTATCATCTCACGAATTCAAACAAGAACTGACGTAGACAGTAAGATCTTCACAGCACTTCTCAGTTGTTTTCAATGTATTATAACAGGGGTGAGTTGCTGGTAAATTGTTCCAAGGGTACACCCTACACCATAATGGTGTGAGACAATTTACTTTGGTGACATGTTCTAGCCCCGTATTGCGCATGTTGCCTACATGGGATGGGATACACTCTTCCGTGCTTAGCAATGTCATCAGCACGCAGTACTAGTCTATGTACGTTTGGTTAGCAAAGTTAGCACTTTTGTATTTTTCAAGTTCGTTCCTCAGCAGCTATATTTTCGATATATTTTTCAATGTTGATGTTTTCAAAGTTTTGATATTTTCGATATTTCTCCAAAATCTGATAGTTTTGATATGTTGATATTACCAAATAATTAACATTGCCAATGTTGATATACAAACCATATTAACCCTAACCCCCAAGGGTGTATGTAATATCGTATTGAAATTGGAGGATTTGGGACTGTTAGGGTTAATAATATCGATATATCAATATATTGACGGTGCTTACTCGGGCAGCAAGACATCAGATAAATTCCACGATGAACCCCCAATTTTTCCCATTCTCTCCCCACTTCTGTGTAGACATCAATGAGTGTGCCAGTCAACCTTGTCGCAATGGTGGACTGTGCGTGGATGGAATAAACTTGTACACCTGTCAGTGCCTTCCTGGATGGGCAGGAACTCAGTGTTCTACAAGTAGGTGTTTCTCTCCTGCTAGCTTTCTACTGGTGTTAGTCGACCTTCTTTTACTGGTTTTTCCTTTTTTTTTTCTCTAGCTGCCACCCTCAGTTTTACTGTCTTTGTCAGCCATGAGTTGTCTTGTCTTCCCTGCTTTTGTGATAGTGCATTCAGATCTTTTATTATTTGGTACTGTGCTTGTCCCCCTTTTTGTCTCAGCTTATTGGAGTTCTTTCCTGTCACTAAATTTATTAGTAGTCATTGTCATTGTTAGTGTTTGGAAGAATCCAGTAATGCTTCACTGGTCACTCCCAATAGCCCCCTCTAATGGCAGAAAGCTTCATGTTGGACGTTGTGGAGAGTAACTATCATGGAACAGTGACTTAACGCAGTAGTTATCACGATTCTTACTTCCATTTTTGTGGGCCTCTGTAAGTGACCAGTGACAGCATAACCATGGTCAGTGGATTTATCTGTATCTAAGTGTGGTTATGGTGATGATTTTCTGGGTTAGGATGGCTATTGCACTATTGGTTGTGCTGGTGCTGGTGATGCTAATGTTGCAGGTAATGAGTATGTTGATAAGATATTGGTGTTGATGGTTGTGTCATCTCCGTTATAATCAGTCAACTCTTGTCAGCATGTTAGGATTCTGCATAAAGCACTGTCATTGTGACTTCTGATTACTTTCTGTACGTTTATCACAGTGACATCACAGGTTTGGATGGGCATGCCAAATCTGTCTACATGAACGAATAATTACTTGTTACTCAAGGTGATACAAATGTGCCACATTCGCAAAATCAAAATCAAACTCTCAAACGCAATGGATGTCCATACACACATTTCTTGCCTTCACAAAACTGAAGTGACTTGAGTCGGGCACCACTACATGATCTTTCTGAAATGTTTGCATTAGTGTCAACTTTTCTTCATATCTTTCAACGGAGCTGCCATGTCTCACATTGCATTGTGGGAAATGTCCCCAACTAACTGACTCAACTGGGTCATTTACATTTGCCAGGCCTGAGTAAGCACAAGAAATATGACTGTCATATCAACAGTCATATTTCTCGTGCGCTTCCACAAGTAATGCAAGGAAAATAATTGAAAGCAATATTCATAGGCTGGGCACATAAGTGCCCCTTTAGCGATTTCAGAGGAGAGATAAAAAGGGTAAAAATCCCCAGTTTACTTGGAAAGACAACCCTCAAAATTGACCCCCTCCACTGTCAGTTGTTCATCAGTTCCTTGCTGATGAATATTTCCCCTCTCCCGACCAATTTTTGGTGATGCAAGTTTTCACCCATATTTTGCACTTTTTATATGCTCGTGTGTCAGTTCATGCATGTGGTTGTGCTATCCCAAGTCTTGCTGCTTGATACATGGAGGTGCCCTCTTTCACTTGTGCATGGATCTAGTCCTTGAAAAACCTAATTTGCTGGTATTGAGATCATCCAAAATGGTAATAACAACAATGGCACTGATGTCTACGAACATAATTGTGAGATTTGACAATGACAGTCATATAGGGCCAGCTTTGCAACACTGGCACTTACACCCCTTCCCCGGTGGTATTCTCGTGGAGGTGATTGCTGGTGGTAGCATGGTGCACCTGTAGTGGTGGTGATGGGTTTGTTTGCATTATTCTTGCACCTGTTCTGTGTTGTGTCCGTCGCGTTACATCAACAAGAATTGCTTAAAGACGAAGCAAAATTTCTGAAATGCTATTACGCGCTGAAAGTTCAAATTTATCCTGCTAAATATTGTGAGTGCATTGTTTCTCACTCATTGGTCAAAATAAACATTATTTCCTGCGTCATTTCATTCACATCAGTGGCATACAGGAAACGTTTTCAGGTAAGAACACATGAGACTTTTTGTACCTGTTTCCACCGATTTGTGAAGTAGACATTTTTGCTAGGTTTACCAGTTCGACTTTGCTTTAGTTTTGCAACCTTGAATCCAGAAATTTACTGTTTGTTCTGCTAGTGCAGTATCTTACATAGTCATGATAAGCATTGAAAATTCCTGATTTTATTTTTTCTCTCTCTCTCTCTTTGTATAAATATGATATGTATGTAGAGCTTTATTTAAAAAAAGTAATGTGGGATGTTAAAAATATAGTCTTTTTTGTTGGATGATAGAAATTAAGAATGTGCTTTTAATATTATGAGGAGTTCTAAGAAATACTGATGGTGGTTCACCATTTTGCTGGATGGCTAAAATAAATGTCTTGAAAATGTAAGGAAAGTTGCCATGAAATGTACTGTTAAAATCTTGATTACAATCCTGCTTATTAAAGATTGTACAAGGCAGTCTGCACACTTAAGGCCACTGTTCAGTTTACTTCAAACATTTTACATCATGGCATGAGATTTCAAAAACTTTACAAAGATAAGCCCATGGTTGTTTCCCACCCCTCCCACAAGTCCCTCTCTTTTTGCTTTCCACTTCCCCTCTTCTTACCGGCTTTCTTCACTTCATGAATCCTGTGCATCTGTACTTTTGCAGGCGTATGTAGACTTGCCTTCTTTTTTTCCAATTACTTCTTCACCTTCATACCATTTTCAAAACTTCCTGCCGTGCTTGTTGTGCCGGTGACTAATGGCTGTTTTTGAGTTTCGACTAACAAGTTTATAACTCACCACTTAAGTAGATGCGGTGCTTTGTCCATATGACATCAAAACAAGTATTTTTTGTTGACGTTTCGGGACTAAACGTATGAGTATCTGATGCAAGTGTAATATTTTGTCATTTTTGCAAAAGACTGAAGTTTCAGTGGTTGAAACTGCCCTGGAAACATGACACTGTGAAAATTCCATGCGATCGGCTTCTTACATGTATTTTCCTATGGCAGAAGGATATCTTTAATGTTTTAGAAAGTCATGTCCCGAGGCTCACATCATTGACATCACCATATTCATAACCACCTGTCTCATTTGTGTGTCTTGTCCCTGTCATATTGAACCTTGTATTGAGTACCAATGATTGCCTGCCTGGATTTTTCTTTACAACAAGAGCATTGGTCTTTTTGCAGACGGATATTGTTGTTAAGGTAGTATGCCATTTTTCCTTATTTGAGTTTACTTAATCACTGCAGGTTTGTTCACTTGTATGATTAATGGCATTCACTCCTGTTTCTCATAGATATCAATGAGTGTGCTAGCTCCCCTTGCCGTAATGGTGGAACCTGTACAGATGGCGTCAATAGTTACACCTGCACATGTTTGCCTGGTTACACTGGAACCAACTGCGAAATCAGTATGGAAACTTTTCATCATTATTCTGTAATCTTTTTAAAACCCTTAACAAACCTGTTAATGAAGCTTTTTATCTTGATCAGTTGGTAAAACAAATTGAACTAAATACCATTTTTTGTTATCTTGTGTAGCTTTCTCCATTGTATTTTATAAGTCATATTTGTATGTGGGAGTTATAGGTTTTGAAAAACGAATCACGGTGGCCAGTGTGCTTAAAAATATTCTCAGTATGGATTAATTAATTTCTCCTGCATTCCATCTCCACTGTTTGATTGCCATGTGTTCTAATAAAATGCGTGTTTTGGAATTTCATTGATATCTATCTCAGACGCAAAAAAGAATGCAACGATAACCTGCTTGTAAATTCAAGGAAATACCCCCCCGTCCATTGATAAACATGTAGCTTTACTACATATCCTGTCTGAAAATCAGGGTTCCTGCGGCCTGGAAATTTCTTTAAAAATTCATGGAAATTTGTTTTTGTTTTCCAGGTCGGAAAAGTCATGGAAGTTTGTAAAAATGACTGAAGTCATGGAAAAGTCATGGAATTTTCCGAACATTGTGTGTGATTTCTATTATCATAAATAAGTGCATAAAATACGTAATTTTATTTGCAACTTTGAAAGTCCCAATAGTCCAATAAATTGCTTTATTGGGCCATGGAAAAGTCATGGAATTTAATTGTCCTTTAGGTGTAGGAACCCTGGTAAATGTATGTAGAAGACACCGAGTGTTGATTATGATGATTTTCATCACTTATTAGATGACTCCTCACACAAATTATGTGAACTTTATTGACGTTTATGCATGAATCTGCCACCTTTTTAGACATTAACGAGTGTAGCAGCAACCCTTGTCAGAATGGCGGCATATGCACCGATCTTGTCAATGGTTATTCCTGTGCCTGTGCTTCAGGCTTCACTGGCGTCACATGCGATATTGGTGCGTAGTCAACTTTTTGTTTTTGTTTGATAGTTTGAACATTATCCCTGTAAAATAGGCTTCATTTCCTATAAGGTTAAGATTTGTATTGTACTTAGTCCCTCTTTCACTTACTCATTTGCCTCATTGAATTTCTCACTTCAGTTAAAAAAACTCACCGTCTTCATATCTAAGGTAACTGATGTCCTATTTTAAGTAAAGCCTGAGTGGCTTGCACTCACACATATGTATATGTCAGATGTTTGGAGCTCAAGCTTAGGTGAACACTTGGCTGTGTCTAAATTTATTGGCTGCGGCTGGCTGTATTGTGCATACCTATTGGTAATGGCTGCAGCAACTAGCCATTGGCTTCTGTAGGTGCTTGTGTTAATGCTAGCCACAGCCACAATTTTTAAATTGAACCTTAACACTCTAAATACTTTTTATGTACATGTAAAGTCATCATGTGATCTTTTTTGTCTCTGCATACAGATATTAATGAGTGTGCCAGTACTCCGTGCATGAACGGTGGCCAGTGCTTGGACTTGGTCAACCAGTACCGGTGTCAGTGCGAGCCAGGGTTCAGTGGAGATCGCTGTGAAATTAGTGAGTCCCCCCTTCTAGTGTTAGCCTAGGAGGGTGTGGTTTAGGGGGTGTGGGGAATATGAGGAGCTGCTGTGCAGAGATGTTGTCAAGAGATGGATAGTGACAAAGAATGTCATCAAAACTGTTCATTGAGAACAGCTTGTTACTAGGATGACTTGTGATCAGCTTGTGAGGACTTGTGTGGGCTTGTAGCGTGCTTGCAAGAGATAAAGGAGGACGCCTTGGGGACATGTCACTGACTGACTTAATGTTGGTATCGAAATTCAGTCATGTTTCGTGCACAGTCAAGTGTCACACATATTGGCATGCATATCATTTCACCCACTCTGGTTACACAGCATTTCTTCTACTCAACCAGATATTGATGACTGTGTCAGCCAACCTTGCTTCAACGGTGGTACCTGTGTCGATGGCATAAATTCATATACCTGCCTCTGCCTTGCTGGCTTTATGGGGACACGTTGTGAAATAGGTAAACATTGCTCATGTATCTCATTTTTTGGTATCAGTTCATTATGATAACCTGTTCATTGATTTTCTTGTTCCAGTGAAACTGATAAGAGACAAATTTATCATCATGATATTTCTTTAGTTTTGGTGTTCCATTATGATTAGTGTTCAAATGAAATTATTTGTAAAGATGATAGTTTTCAGGTTTTCAAGCATAGCATTGTTGCAGCCATTGTTGAAGCTATTTTATTGAAATATTTGGAATCAGTCTTCTTTAAAATGACTAAAAAAATATGGTATTTGAAGTTACCTTTATGTTCCTTTTCAGATGTTGATGAGTGTGCTAGCTCTCCTTGTGTCAGTGGTGTCTGCAATGATCGAGTCAACAGCTATGAGTGCACCTGCTTCCCCGGATTCTCAGGAATCAACTGTGAAATCAGTGAGTAGTTCATCCATTTTTTTCTACTTCACTTTATTCTTTTTGGTTCACAAGCGCTGTGAACATGCCCAAGTTAATCTGAGTCCTTGTCCTCTGGATTTTTTTGGAGTTGGTGCCATTTCCGAGGAGGTGCCAAGCTAAACTTGCCTTTTGCTCCCGCCCCAGTATGCCACTGTTAGCAAGTGTGAAATAGTTTTTTTTGGGGGGGGGGTTACAGATAACGACGAATGCAGCAGCTCCCCTTGTCAGAACAGTGGTGCTTGTATTGATGGAGTGAATGGCTACACTTGCTCCTGTCTAGCGGGCTACTCGGGAGTAAACTGTGAAATCAGTAAGTATTGCACAAGTAACAAACGAATAAATAATTGGCCTCACCCCCTTCAATTCGATGGCCAAAAAGCAATCAGGCCAATATTTCTTGTAGTAATTATGCTCATGAGCGTATAAGGCTTAAATTTAAGGTTTTCAAGTCTGAACAGTTTCCGAGGGAATCATTTAAGAATTTTTTGACTCAGGAATTCATTCTGAAAAGGGATCAAAATGTGATTTTGCCATGTATCTTACTTTGACTTGAAATTTGTCTTTTGCCAATACCGTCAACATGGTCATGTATACGTTCATGTATTTCTTGATTTAAAAAAAATCATCTTTTACTTAATCAGCGTTTCAGACTTATACATAATGTTAAGATTGAGGTAATACTTGAAGTTAACCCATTTGTCTGTTTGAAGCCATTTTTATCATTTAAATATTCATTCATTGTTCTAAGATTTCATTTCAACCAAGTTGTTTAATTTCATTCAACTTCCTCCTCTTTAGATATTAATGAGTGTGCCAGCAGTCCTTGTAGATTTGGATCCACATGTAGCGATCTCATCAATGCTTACATGTGCATCTGCCCAGCAGGATATGAAGGCACCAACTGTCAGTTTGGTATGTTACAAATATCATTTTTTAGTCATTTTCCTCTTGGTCCCATGTCAGTGTGGTCTGTTGTGCCAGAGATTGTCAGTGGTTTTCTGGGTACAGAATGACTGAAAATGTTTCTATTTCCCCTGGGCTTGAATATCAATCCATTGCAGAGTTGTCCCCACTTAATAATGCTGGTATCCAAATCTGCCCCGGGCAGGTTGGAGTAATGTGACCAGCCTTAGGCCGCTGTATAAATTTTCCTTTTAACTATATGCAAAATTCATCTTCTCCCCTGATGGCATTCTCCTTTTATTATCAAACTTTCAGCTAAAATGTAATTGCAACTTGCTTTCAATGCAGTTGAGTAACACACACATGTGGAATCAATCATTTGAATGTACATGTATAGTGTAATTTGAGGGAAATTTTAAAATTTAGCAACTTACCCTTTTGAAAAGAGAATTACAAATGTTGTCTTGTAACACCTTTAACAGTATGTATCATGAGGACTCTAACCTTTGACCCGTGGATTGCAATACAAGCAGCTTCACCCACATTATACTGATTTCATATTGTGTGTAGATATCAATGAGTGCTCCAGCTCACCTTGTCTCAATGGAGGGCGTTGCTTGGATCGTGTCAATTTATACATGTGTGAATGTGCCCCCGGTTACACTGGAGACAACTGTGAAATTGGTAAGCTGTAATACATGTATCTAGTGATTCCCCCACTTGCTCTTATAAGATTTATGTTAAGCTTATATTCTGAATTTGATTTTGATTTGATTTGATTTGATTTGATTTTGATTTGATTTGATTTGATTTTGATTTGATAGATATTGATGAGTGCAGCAGTAATCCATGTCAAAATGGAGCTGTGTGCAACAACCTGATTAATTCCTTCACTTGCACGTGTGCAGCAGGCTACGAGGGAGTTTTATGCGGAATTAGTAAGTACAGATTTCTGGGGCTCGTTTGTCCTGAGTAAGTCCTGACTATTGACTTAAGATTTGAGTCACTCTGTACAAGTATTCTTGCACATCAATAGGTATGAAAGTATCAGAGCTTAAATATTTGTTGAAACTGAAGAGATATCAGCTTAGTTCCAGTGCCTTTTAAAGCTGCTTATAATGACATCCTGTTGACACTCTGACCTTTATTTTTAAGTTTTCACTGTTTGATGGAAAGACATGAGGTGATGCATGTTTTTTTGCCTGGCATTAATTGTCAGGCATGAAATCACAGGTCGCCTTTTGATAATGCTCTCCACAGGGCTGAGATATCTTTTGTGAGAAGTACCAGAAAAAGTTTGACCCACTGGTTTAAGTTGGCTTTGAACTGTAACATTGCTGCTGCAATTCATCAGTGCCAGACCTGTTTTTCTTCCTCATCAGATGTTAATGAATGTGCCAGTAGCCCATGCCGCAACGGTGGCCTTTGTACTGACCTTGTCAACGGGTACACATGTCAGTGCCAACCTGGGTTTGAGGGCCTTGTCTGTGAAATAGGTAACTCAATGTTTGCAATAAATTTGATTGTAAACGACCACTACGGTGACACACACAGACCATAAGAAATTTAGCCACTAAATCCGTATTAAGGTCCCCATTTTTATAGTATTTGTGTAAAGCAGATCTGAATGGGTTTTGGAAATGCCCAAAGGACTATTTTTGCCATTTTGAATTATTGATTTTTGAGAATGAATCATCATCTTACAAATGGTAGCACACAAACATTACATTTCATTTGAAATTCATAGCACAATGGCAGAATCGTTCAAATTAAATTTATTCAATGCCATCACTGCTTCAGATACAAAAATTGGGGTCGATTAGATTGAATTGCATTTTCTTACTCTTAATGCGAATGTATCCAAATGTGCTGTTTCTAATTTTGTTTCATTTTCTCTTCCCCTTAGCAGCTAAAATTTATGAGCACATTATCACAGTTTTATCCAAATCACTTTTGAATGCAGTTATTTTGTTTGTGTGTCTTGTTGTTTGGTCTTGCTTTGTTTCATTTTTACCGGAATAGTATATTGCTCCTGATCCATCGCAACACTTTGTTATCTATTTTGAAATGTTCTCACTTCTTGCTTTTCCAATCTGTTTCTGTCATCAAATTTTCCCCTTTATGAGGCCTACCTCACATCTCATCCCTCTTCCTCCATCTTTCTCCTCTCTTTCTTGTCCTTAAGATATAGTTTTTCGAATCCAGGAGCATGTTTCATAGAAATGTACAGACAGAATATAAGTTGTAAGCTAAAATCAAATTTTTAGTACAAATTGAGTTTGAAAGTATACAAATATAACATGGTTTGAGATTGGACAGTCGATGTTAGTTCTTCGAGGTATTTGGAGTGCCGATACTTCGGGGAGCTAACAACCAAAATAAACCATGTTATATTTTTTTCACTATACCTCATATATATATTTTGATATAAAAACAATATGTGCCGCCATCTTTTCATATGAGCTGCATACTGTTGGTAGGCTGGCGCCACCACGAGTGCATAGCACACACGGGTGACATTTCCAGGATTTTCTGTCACTGCGCATGTGTTTTTAACTGTTGCCTGGGTAAGCCGGGCGACCGTTTAAAATGCATGTGTATTTACTCCTTGCATGAGCAATCCAGTGTGCGCCTGGCAAACAGCATAAATAGCGGCTGTTGCGTGACTGTGAATGAGAGTTCAGCAATCCATCGTGAATATGCATGAGGTATAGTAATTACATATTTTTCTTTGAATTGATAAGGTACTGGTATAGCCTATAAAGTAACTTTAAATCAAGGTGTTCAGTTTTTCCAGATCTTCTTTATACAGGCACTAGCGAAGATGTCACTTTCACAGATATGTATCACCTTTATCAGCGCTTCACAGAAAATGTTTTTCTGTGCTAAAAAGTGGCTTAGACTTTCCCTATTGTCTCATCTCATTGACTGTTTCACGTTGTTGCACTAATTCAAGACCATTTATTTCTCCCTGTTGCCCCTGTGTGCAATAAGTAAAATCCAATTTTAACAAAGATAAACAAAATCTCTTGTCCAAAGTTGCTAGCTGCCATTGTTCATTTGTGGTACCTTTTTGCTGTTTTGTTGTGTTATCCTTTGAAAGATTTTTTTGAACACAGAATCCAGACGAGATGCTTTCCCTTTCTTAGTTTGTGAGCTTGCCTGAAAATCCAAGACTTACTCAAGTAACATGCGAGTTAACTGGACCGAAGTAAGTTTTTTTTTCAACCCTTCAGAGGTAAAAACGTAAGTCACCAACATTGATGAAATCTGGGTTTGCAAAATAGATATCTTAGTGAGAAGTACATGTAGGGCTAATTTCCATTGTGTTCTACAAAGCTGCATTTGATGGATTGCAAAAAACCCATTCCTTACTGTAGTTACATTTTTGGAATAGTGTTATCATAATCAGCATTTGTTAGTAATTCCTAGTTGCTCACGAGGTTCAATGTATGTGTCAGATACATCTAGTTGTTCCTTAGATTGAATACTTTGGAATGAAGTATTATCGTTACTATCATCATGCATATCAATTTGTCAGTAATAATAAAAGAATACCAGATTTGGAAAATGAGATGATTATTATCCACGAAGAGGACAGAATATCACACATATCAGTATTTATCATAGCAAATTCATAATTAGAAATTGATATCTTTCGAAAACATTTTCTCTTGAAGTGTATCAGCACTAGGCTTAGAGTAAGTGAGACTAGAATTCTCTCCCCTCTCTTTTCTCTCTCTGTTTTCTTTACCTGTCTTCTCCAACTTGCCTACCCTGATTTGGGTTTTTCTTCTCAGATCTTTGGCTGTCAATGCTGTTGCTGTCTCTGTATCTCTCATTGTCACTCAGAACACTAACGACCTCTTCACAAAGCACTTTATTTCCTTTGGTTGGAGAACCGAGTGACTATTTTTCCAAAAATTATTAAGGGCAATTTAACCAAACAAATGTGTGTTGCACGTTATTATTGTAAGAACATATGTGTTCAAGTCAAAAACTATGTTCTCTTTGCAAGTGTCATAAAATAGCAAGCTTTCCGTTAACATATTTTTCATTAATTTCCTTTCTTAAACTATTATAACCTCCAGCTGTGTGTGTATTTGTGTAAAGTCTAAGTCTTTGTACCCCCCCATCATTGAATGACTTTGCGTTTTTGTGTGTGTCACATTTGAGTTACTTTAGCACTCGGATACCAAGGGTTGATCCAGGATGCATCAGGGAAAAAGGGGTCCATGGCCCTCCCCTAAGGAGCCAAAAAGACAGTTTTTGAATAAAAATAGAAAGGCGCATTTTGGTCAGTTTCATTTCCCTTCCTTCAAAACCCTTCCTTCAGAAAGACTATTGAAGATTACACAAAACAACGCATTTTTGCTCCCCAACAAACAACCCCCCCCCATGAATTCTGGATCTACCCTCATCCAATACAGGCATGCAGCCTAATCACCTTAATTTGCCAGTGGGGTATTAATTTAGCCGAACCATGCCATGTCTGTCAGTTTTTTAAAATGGGTGAACTTGGAAAGCAACTTTGAAGTGCAGTAACTTGAAAAGATTTATAATAATGAGAGAAATAGTCAGATGAGTAAGGCAGGAAGAAAAATTGACAACCAACTAAGCAACAGTCAGTCAACCAATCAGTGGCCCGATGTCAATTTGATGGGTTTTCAACAGAAACTGTACATAGCTTGTGTAATGTTACAGTTCTCAGAGGGGAAAACAAGCCTTCAGTTTCTTAATGAATTACTTCTGTCAATCTTCCTTTTTACCAAGAATTTGTGTGTTGGCATTTTTTTCAAAGAGTTCAATATATTTTTATTTTGTTCAGTGCAGTTTTTCAAATTTAGCTACTTTTTTTTATCATTGCCGCATCAGTATTTCTCATGAGTCTATTTCCTGTATCTCATTTCCTTCGTTGTCCATTAGACATTGACGAATGTGCCAGTGGCCCATGCGTGAATGGACAGTGTACAGACCATGTCAACCGGTATACCTGCACCTGTCAACCTGGCTGGACTGGAGTTAACTGCGAAATAAGTGAGTACAATTGTTGGAGTAAGGTGCCATCAGCTTTATGTATTGTGTGTTGGGGGCAGCCGACTCTTTTCTGTTAGGTCTGTGATTGGAATGGATCCCAACTTGCACTCAGATCCTGACTCGTCTGCAAGTGTCTTTGGTAAGACCCAGTTCAATGGGGTGTTTATTGTATGTTACTGCACAACAAGTACATGAGTGGAGGAAATCATTTTGAGATGTCATTTCTGAAGTGGTATCACACCCACGTGGTGCACAGTACTCTATATTTTTAAGGCTTGAGTGTACTGTGCCAAGTTATGACATCATGTTGAACCAGCCGATGCACTCGTACGGCCAGCACATGAGCAACCCCTCCTTGGTTGTAGCTTTTCATTTTTCTTGATGATTTGTAGTTGATACTCGCACATCATATCACCTGTTTTCTGTTTTGAACACTCAGACATTGACGAATGTGCCAGCCAGCCTTGTCTCAACAATGCCCAGTGCACAGATCTCGTCAACGGCTATTCCTGCGCTCCTTGCGTCGCTGGCTACGAAGGAATCCGCTGTCAAATCAGTAAGTAGCCAGAAAGCAACATCTTCATCTTTCAATCAGTCAAAACAAATAATAGCCAACATTTGCTTTTTTTTACATAGAACCATCGGCAATATGTCACCTCTTGGCCAATATTCCTGCCCCTCTAGCTCTTGCACTTGTAATTTTTCAACTATCCATGTCTTTTTGGTGTTCTTTTTGTAGACATCAACGAGTGTGATAGCAGTCCGTGTGTAAATGGCATCTGCATTGATGGGGTGGATGCATTCACCTGTACCTGCTTCCCTGGTTACGAGGGCTCCTTTTGCGAGATCAGTGAGTTGAAAAGCCCTCCTTTGTGAAGTCTTGGAGTCAGAGCGTGAACTTTGACCATACAACAAATAAGCCACTTGTGAATTGAGCTTGAATGATGTCTGGAACCCCTAGTACAGTTGCAGTATAGGTGTCAGCTGATGAATCACATGAGTCCTTCTGAGTCCTGAGCATTACACTAGCCAGTGCCGCAAGATTGCTTCTCTATCCACCATCATGTTTCTTTAATTTTTTTTCTTTTCTCTCTGGTCGTCTTTACAGATACCAACGAGTGTAGTAGCAGCCCATGTCAGAATGGAGGAGCATGTGTGGATGGCATCAATGAGTTTACGTGCACCTGCACTGCTGGGTTCATTGGCATCCTGTGTGAGATCAGTGAGTATCGCAACATGCAGACACTTGTCATTCAGCGTTTAAAGTTGATTGCTCCTTTTTCTTCCTAGTTGATCAAAAGACCTTTTTGATTTGATTTTCAAGAAAATTTTTTTGCAGTTGGTTACCACACTTATCTTCCCTCATGCTCTTCAGTTCATTCAATTAAGGTCAGAAGTAGGATATACAATTGAATTTGTCAAAGGTCGATTTAATGTTTCCAAAGGCAAGATCAAAGCAGGCAAGCATGAACATCTCAATACACGAAAAATCAATATACGACCGCTCTTAAATGGCCCACTTTGCACACGTGTATTGCTGTTCTGAACAGCTTCCAACATGCTTCATTTTTGGAGGAGATGTTGGAGCACCACGCTGGCTCATTATACTGAAGGCCCATTTAATGATACCATTTAATACTCATGACAAATTGTCACATCTCAATTCTCTAACGTTTATTTCCACACATGGAGGCAACATCCTAAAAGCCGAAGCATGTGGCAGATTTGCTCAACAAACGGGACAAAACAAGACTAACAACACATATTATAGAATCTTGAAGTAATAACAATAAAAAATTTCAAAGTTGAAGTAAACAAGACAAACAAAAAAGTATTACAACAGTTATGTATTGGAACAGTAATTAAATAGATAACAGATGAAAAAAGGTTGACACAAAATAAAATGACAGATAATGAATGACTAAACCGGCTTAAAACAATAACAACAAATTGGAATGTATTAGTAAAAGGGCAAGATTGTTCCACTTTTGTGTTCAGAGAAATAAATCCCCAATGGGGTTTCCCTTCCTGGAGTTTGAGACAACACCTAACTGACTTTACTGTGACTGGCAGCATTGCTGTGATTATAACCTGTATGTGTGTTTCCCTACGGAGCCCTATTTGCTTTTTCTCCAAAGGTTTGTTTCTGTGGTCTCTCCTCCAATCTTTTCTCTCTTTGAATGAACTGAAATCATGTCTTTTTAATTTCGCAGATGTAAATGAGTGTCAAAGCAGCCCTTGCCAGAATGGGGCCACCTGTACTGACGGCATCAATTCTTATTCATGCACCTGTATGCCTGGTTTTACAGGAGATAGATGCCAAATTGGTTAGTTTTCTTGTGTCTTGAAGGAGTATTTCTCTATCAGGGTCATTCTATAAATTAGAGGTGCAAATTTTTTTGTGTCCCTGTTACATCTGACATATGTTTTTATGAGTTCAAAAACATTCTGTAATTTCCAGGAGTGACGAATTAATGCAAAGTACCTGCCAAAAAAATAGAAATAGTTTAAAATCGATTTCATTGATATTTCCGTGTAAAATTACACAAGTCACGTGTAGCAGAGGACACAAACATGTCATACTTTTGGAACCTGGATTTATAGAATGTCCCATCTGTCCTTCCTACCCAAGTTTCATTGAGCCATTTCTGGAAAAATATGACTGAGCAATTTAAAAGCAGCCAGAGATTTGTAGTAGTGGCCTAATTGAATCAGGCACACGCCCCCCTCACAGTGGAATTTTGAACTGCACACAACCTATTTACAAGTAACAATTCAGTTGCTTTCGGCACCCTCTTGAAGTAATGGGTCTCTGGTCTTGTAATGAACGCTACTCTGATGGTATCCTTTATTTTGCTGATAATTTTTTTTTAAATGTACCTTTCCACAAAAACCAAAAAGGCCCCTATACACCCGTGAAAAGACCTGACGTAAAGACTTAAAATTGAGACAATTGACACTCACAGACACTTTTCATGGACTTCGTGAAACTTTTTTCTGTGACTTTTAGCTGAAGCTGTTTTATCTGACATTGTTTCTGGTTCTGGTTGGCAGATATCAATGAGTGCGCCAGTAACCCGTGTCAGAACCAGGCTACTTGCCTGAACCTGGTCAACCTGTTCCGCTGTGTCTGTGCCCCAGGCTACGTTGGAGAATTCTGTCAGACTAGTAAGTACCAACAGAAGTTTACAGTGGTACTTGGTGAGGATGCTAGCCGGAAAACTGCAGTCATGTAGCTTGATGCATAGATGGGACCCAAGGGCAGATTCAGAAGTAAATTCTCGGATGGTAGCCTAAATTGTTTTTTTTTTGAGCCACAATATTTTCTGTTAGGAAAATGAAATTGCCTAGACATTTTGCTCTTCCCACAGATCCATCATTGATCAGACCACTGGCATGAGTCTAGTGGTCCCCATTACCAACAACTCTCATGATCTTATTTAATGTCAGTTGTAAAAGCATCTTAGTGAATACCAGTCATCTAGATGCTAGTCCATCCTTACACTGCAGTTATTGCTCATTATTAATTAATGTCTTGTGTCTTTCTTTCTAACCAGACTTTGATGAATGTGCCAGCACCCCTTGTTTCAACGGTGCCAACTGTGTAGATGGCGTGAACCAGTACTCGTGTACCTGTCTGCCTGGATATGAGGGCACTCGCTGTGAAATTGGTATGGAGAAGGAAAATGAGGGAAAACAAACGTCGTAGATTTAAATGCTTTAGTCATTCTACAGTTTGGCAGCAAGTTTGTCTCTTTGATTGGTATATCACCTTGTGATAAAGGTTCTAGCTGGAAGGAAGGTGGAAACCAAATGTCATGTTTTTTTAATGTGATGATGTAATAAATGAAATGAAAGTAAAAAAATGGGGGGGGGTTTCTGGTTGAACCGAACAGATTTAATGAACAAACAAGAATTCCAAAAATTTGTATGGGATCCTGGAGGCTTTGAGAAGATTGATAAAACATTGTAGCCTGTTGCTAATGTTATTCTGCAAACAGTTTGTTGCAAGGGTGATATTGTTTGTTGCAAATGCTGACTTAAAAACTGACAAGATTTTACAGCCACAGGCCTTTGGCTTTACAAACGCTGGCCCTTGTTGGGAAGTTTGTTGAGGATTTATGCACATTTTTCCAGCATTGTTGTATTTCACACTCTAGATAATGTCTCAGAGCAGTATTTGCTGTAGAGCAGTGCCCTGCTGTACACAGATGCTTTAAAGGTCCATGCATGCTCAACTTTCACAGATTAGCTCAAGCCTTTGTGTAGAAACACAGTGAGAATCACTCTTGTCTGGAGATGAACATAGACATTATCCTTTACTGCTTGCAGAAATTGACACATTTTTAGACATCCTCCATGTAATTGACAAAGGAAAATCCTTGTGTGTGTACACACCAACTGGTGTGAATTGGTTAGAGTATTTTTTAGGTCTGTTTTACTGTCATTTGCCCTTTTCTAGACATCAATGAATGTTTCAGCAGCCCTTGCCAGAATGGAGGTTTCTGCATTGACCGCGTCAATTCATATGAGTGTGTCTGTCCATTGGGTTACAACGGAGTCAACTGTCAAACCAGTAAGTTAAAGATCATGTAAAAATCTTGAACGTAAAAGTTTTTTTTGGGGGGGGGGAATTACACAAGACATTCAGTGTAGATGTATCTATGCACGTTGAAAAGAATGAGTTTTAAATGCCACGTTTACCCCCTCCCATTCCTTGGCCCAGCTCTCACCATACTGCACAACCTCCACTGGTGCTACAGTTGGATCTGCCAGTTGTCTTAAAAAAAATATTTGTTTTTCATCATTGCATCACATCTTCACTTTTTTTGTAATTAAAATTTTTGCATGCAAGTAAAGTACTGCATCTCTTTCGGAAACTTCAGCTTCTTTAAGGGGAAAAGGAACTTTTGTCTGTGAATTCCATTTTTCCATAGATGTGAATACTTTTCGATATAAATAACTTCCTATAGTTGGAGAGTTTCTTGGTGCCTTCAAAAGTATTGACTTGTCTTGTTTGTGACAGACACCAATGAATGTGCCAGTGCCCCTTGCGCCAATGGTGGTACCTGCACAGATGAAGTGAACGGCTACAGGTGCACGTGTGTCCCTGGCTGGACAGGCACCAACTGTGATCAGGGTAAGATCGGTCTGTCATCCTGTAGTTGGCTTAAGTGACTCTCTCGGGACTAGAAGGGCCTCTTTGGGGAGAAGTGGCTTTTTAGAACTGGGCCAAAAAGTCTCCTTTCAAAAACAAGAAAAAGAACAGAGAAGGCCTGTTATTTCGTAAGAGTTTTAAGCCTTGTTTTCAGTGGTTGTCTGGTGTTCAAAGAGGAAAGTTATTACTGGAAATATTGAAGTAAGTTTGAGAAAGCCAGGGAATCCTTTTCCAGTCGAATCCCCCATGCTGCCGGCCAAACCCTTATACACTGTATCTCTCCTGTAACCTTTCAGTAGGTGATTTTTGGTTTGGCACATAAAGTTGATTCATGTAAAGTTGAAGAATGCAATTTTATGCTGCAACTTTCAAGTTCTGGTGTATGCACATCCTCTAGCCAGGGGCTTTCAGTGTACACATTTGGACTTTAGTGATCTTTGGCCTATTAAACTTTGCAGATATCAATGAGTGTGCCAGCAACCCTTGCCGCAATGGCGCAACATGTAACAACCTGCTGAATGCATACACATGTGTCTGTCGCTCTGGCTACACTGGTGTGAACTGTGAGACAGGTAAGCTATTAAAAAGCCGTTGCTTATACAATAATGTTGTGTGTTACTTTTGGATGTTAGCATCTGTATTGGAATAATCTCCCATCAGCATGAAAGGCATCAGTATAAAAAGGCAATTGTTAGATATGTAGGCCTGTACATTTTGAGGGATCGATACAGCACTGAGTTGTGGTCAAGCGTACCGCGTGTTAAATCACAAGTGAAATCTCATAATGTTTAACATTTGTTCAGAATTACGTCAGACAGTTGGCCCATTCTTTATTGGTCGACAGCCCTTCACGGGGTTTATTACCAGTATTATTTTCTTGAATGTAGGGGCATGCTCAATAGCACAATATGTACACCAGTATTGGCATATGCGTACCTTTATTTTCAGTGGTATGTATCTGTGCATTAAGTATTGTGTGATTGAATGCTCCTTTGTATCTCGGAATGAGTGGGTTTTCAAGTTGAGGATGTGAGCCCACAGTTCATTTGTATTGGATGTATCCATTGCAGATATTGATGAGTGTGCCAGCGGCCCGTGCCAGAATGGTGGTCAATGCAGGAATGACATCAATGCCTATTTCTGCCAGTGCCCTCCTGGATACACCGGCGTTAACTGCGAGACAGGTGAGTCTACCAGTTCTTTTGTGAGTTCCAGCCTGTAGATCATGTCCACATTCACAGCTAAAGCAGAAATGGGCACTATGCAATAAAAGAAAAAACCTTAGCTGAGGTTTTGGGTTGTTGTTTGGCAGCAGCAGGCAAATCTTTTCCGATACCAGAGGCAAACGTGTTTCCAGAAGTGGGAAGTGGCATGTAAACCAACAAGGTAGAGGCATCATGTATCCCCCCTTCCACGCATCCATTTCCTGTGTGATAAACACAGAGAATTTCAGTTGACATGCATTTGTTAGAATGCTGAGTTGTTGCTCTGATAAGGAACCTTTTGCCAAATTGTCACTGAAGAAAAGTTGTACCAAGTTGATACCTGGTACTAAGGACGGATTTAATCTTCATGAAACTTTCATAGCATTTTCTCGTTACTTTTGCAGACATCAATGAATGTGCGAGTAACCCATGCCAGAACGGGGCAGCCTGTCGAGATAATATCAACTCATACACATGTGAATGCCTGCCCGGTTATGAGGGGCTGCAGTGCCAGATTGGTTAGTCGTTCAGACTTTTCTGTCATTTTTCTTAGTTATTTTTCGATGTAGCGTCATTGACATCAGGTTGTCCATTTGTCAATTATTTTACCATTTTGAAACATGATCTGTTACATTTTGTAATAAGAATTGCATCCATTTCATAATGAGTGATGTTTAGGCTTATTCGTATTCCAAAATCCTCACTTGTTTATTTGGCACCGAAGAAATAAGGCAGCTTTAGATCATTTAGTAGTACTCATTTAGTGATGCCTTCTTCATGTCATCAAATGTTGCATCTTTATTTTAGAGATGATGTTACATTATTTCATAGGAATATGTATTTCATTGTGCTATACATGTATATCTCTCACCTTTCTGTTCTCTCAGACTTCATTTACCGTTGAATATTCATTGTGATAACTCTTCCCTTTATCCTCTCAAGACATTAATGAGTGTGCTAGCCGCCCGTGCCGCAATGGAGGTTCATGCTCAGACCAGGTCAATGGTTTCACGTGTACATGCCAGCCTGGTTGGGCGGGACCTACTTGTTCAGAGAGTAAGTACGGCCCTACTTTGTCCACATGTGGAATTCGGTCTGTCCTGCATTCTTGATGAGACAATGTCGTTCACATGAAACCTTTACAAGGACACAATTTATAAGTTTGTGTAAAAATGGTCCTGACTAGAACGACTAGTTCGAAACAAATTTTAAATCTGTTTTACAAGTTATCCAAAACATTTTATATCAAGTGCAGCTTTTGAAGATTGGATTTTTATTTTGATGTCCAGGCCATTCTCACTTCATGCTGAAACAATGTATAAAATTAAAGGCACGCTCTACCATATTATTTAATTATACCTTTGAATATGGGCAATTCACAATAGTGCACCTCCCAGAGTTTGCAGTGCATTGACCAATCACAATGCTTGAAACAGATTTCACGCACTGTGATTGGTCAATGCTTTGCAAACTCTTGGAGGCTCACTATTGTGAATCACCCCTATATATTGCCTCAGAAGAGTTTTTTTGACAGAGAGAAGGTTATTTTGAAGTAAAGAAGTACTTCACATAATGTTTGAAACAAGATAGGAGTACCAATTTAACTGAAGTAAAAACTACACAAAGTTGACTTAAAACTTTTTTATTTCTTGGCCTGTTACCATGCTAGCCTTTCAAAAGTGGCTACTGTTGCTAAACTCTACCTTGGTAATATTAACCAAATGTCATGACCGCTTCTTATCAGATGTCAATGAGTGTGCCAGCCAGCCTTGTTTGAATGGAGGAAACTGCGTGGATCAGATCAACAGATACGTCTGCCAGTGCCCAGCTGGTTACACTGGAACCAACTGTGAAAACAGTAAGTATTTTTCTCCTGTAAATTATTAAGTCTGACAAAACCAGCTAATTAGAGACTTCTCTTACCCTCCAGTTTTCCAACTACATGTAAGACACGAAAGCAATAGTGAAATTTCCCACCTCAGAGCCCTCAAGAGAAGTGAGTGGTATTCCTTCAAACATTTGCCTGTGTGCATGACACAACGAGAAAACTGTCCTTGGCAGATACCAGCAGACCATCCAAGTCGTCAGTATTCTACCAATTTGAAAATACACTACCATTGCACTTTACATTGCTACTTTGTTATCAACTGAATTCTACAACTTTGATTGTTTTTGTCAACTATATTACATTTTGAAGTTTAAGGCTTATTTAATCACTGTGGCATTCGTATAAATCTAGATTGTGAATATGATTAAGTATGTTACATTTGCAATTGAAAGGGTCAATGATTTTTATTGTAGTGCTAATTCCAGTCTTGAGTGATGTTGTTTTAACCAAAGACAGGAGTTTACTGCTGCTTCAGCATCAAGATTTCCTAGAATTCAGATATTTTTAGCTGTTAACAGGTTTTATAGTCGATGACGTTCAGTCAGTTGGGAAAATTTACAGATTGTTCTAATTTTCTAGGATTTGGGTTCATTGTTTGTATAGGAAGTGTCCCACAATTGTGGAGTACATGTTTAAAGTGACAGCACAGGAGAGCGTCTTCTGTTGTTAGGAACAGCAGCGGACACTGGTAGTATTGAAAATAAAAAGTACACTTTAAAATTTGTAAACAAAAAGTATGTTTCAGTTATTTTCATTGGGCTCAGAGGAATGGATCTGTGCTTCAGTGTGTATTCCATGTCTTGATGAGGCCTTCTGATGATTTCGTCTCTGTAATGCTTCCACAGATATCCAGGAGTGTGCAAGTCAGCCTTGCGTGTTCGGTCAGTGCGTCGATGCCATCGATGGATTTACTTGCATCTGTCAGGCCGGGTACACAGGCACTTTGTGCGAAGCCAGTAAGTGTTGCTTTTTCAGTTATATCTATATTTTGTTTTCTATTCTTGGTTGAGTGGTGAATTTATCTTCAGCGCAATTTATTTTATTCAGTCATCTTTTTATTTGGTCTTGTTTTGGCACACAGACAAAATCTTCTGTTCCCTTTTCTACTCAATTTATCAAATCCCTGTTCTTGTAAACTGCGGGCTTTCCTTGTGAAAACATCCCCTAACCTATAAGTTTAAAATAAATCAATAGCAGATCTCACCTGTTGTTATGGAAAGCAAGTGCAGTTGTTTGTTTGGTGTTTTTTTGTAGCTTGAGAGAGATTCAAAGAATTTCTCGGAATATGACGGAAAGTGGTACTTTCTTTATATTTTGTAATGGAAAGACATACTTGTTCTTGCTCAGGGCAGATCCAAGAAAGAGCCAAAGCCTTTTTTTTTAAACAAAAGGCAATTGTTTTGGTGTGTTTTTTCCAAAAGCATGTGAAAAGCTCCAAAATGTAGCTTCATCTGTCAGAAATCCAATAAAAGGCTATATATAGGAATTGGCAAATTTTCTGTCCCCGCCCAACAAAATACATAAGTGTGCCCCCCCCCAGCAAACACTCCCACATGTGTATCTGTCTTGATCTCCAACCTCTGTATTTTCCTTTTTCTTTTGTCTTTTGTGCACAGACATCCAAGAGTGTTCGAGCAGCCCATGTGAGAATGAAGGACGATGTGTAGACGGCATCAACAGCTACTCCTGCGAGTGCCGACCGGGATTTACGGGTGAAAGGTGTCAGACAGGTCAGCCCCTTCATCCTTGCCTCAAAGATCTAATGCCTCACAGGCTAACAGTGACTGCAACCGACCCCTAACAAGAACACAATGAAATGATATTTAGAGAAGGGCCATTTGAAGAGGACTAGTTCATTTCCTACCTTCAACAATGTGTAAAAAACCTGGATATTTAGCCTCACCCTTCGGAAAGACCACAACCGGATATGCAAAGAAGTTTCAAAATGTTTTTACCCCTACCCTAGTGAAAATCCTTTTGGCCCTCATTTGACACGGCTTAACTGATAACTGTTTTTATCTTGTGAATTTAAAGGTCATGCTTAAGATTTAACGAGGCAGGAAATTTAGGACTGTTATGTTCACCCATCTTAAGTTGTAAGGTCAAGACTCATGGAAGACCTTTTTAAAGACTTCTGTTGTACTCTAGAGAAAAATAAACGCAATCATGGCAAAAACGTCAAAAACAGATTTCACAAAATTGACCTCCAAAGTAATAGAAATTGTTACAGTGCATAATTTTGGCCAGGTAAAAATGATTACAAATTGTCCCATAGCATGGTTTTTTGTTGGCTTAGTTGCCCTTTTTTCTCATTAATAATTGTACAGGTAGGCTGTAGATCATATGGGAGCTTTCTCAATTGATCCCTTTTCCGAATTCTCCCCTCCCCAGCCCTACTTTCACTCCCCAAAGCACATCCAACATAACCAATGAATGCAGCATCAGGTTTTTTTACTGTTGCCCATAAAATAAGGTCATTGTCCCCTGTTCTTGCTACACAGAGATTAACGAGTGTGCTAGCAGTCCTTGTCAGAACAGTGGTATCTGTGAGGACCTAATCAATGAGTTCAGGTGTACATGTCCCGCTGGCTTCTATGGAATCTTCTGTGAAACAAGTAAGTGTTTTTTACTGTTAAGAAAGTGATAATTTTTCCTTCCTGAATGAACTAAAGAGCCTCTCATCCTATAGTTTATCTTGCATTCATTTCATTTTTCTCTATGGTCTGGTGTACCTCATGTAAACCTGAAGCCTATTTTTCATAGCACAGGCATGAAACAATTTTTTTTAGAGGGATTTTAGCACACATTCTCAGATGGACTTAGAATTTGCAATGATCCCCCTCCACCAACACAATGCCCTGCCAGCTACAGAAATTCACAGTTGACAGATGATTCCAAATTCTCAGATCTTTTTGGGGTAATCCCCTTTCCTTTTTCATTTGTCCTCAGTCCAGATGAGATTCTTATTATGAGTTTTTCCTCCAAAAAGGAGTTTTAATTATGGCTTTTGCATGAAAATATACATAACACCAAGGCCTGATTTCAACCCGGAAGTTTACAACATGTCTTTTGTTGAGTAAATAAATCTGTTCCCCGTAAAAAAACAAAAGTGTATATTTGAGATAGCGGTATATGTGATCAACTTACCTGCTGCACAGTGTGAAGGGAATATTTATTACGTCTTGGGAATTCATGATTTGTTTTTCAGACAGGGACGAGTGTCGCAGCAACCCTTGCAGGAATGGAGCCTCGTGCACTGACGGCGTCAATGGATACACTTGTCAGTGTGCGGCAGGTTTCACTGGTACAAATTGTGAGACAGGTAAGTGTACAGGTGGAACAACTTTGTTGTCAGTGAACAAGTGTGAAAAACTCTGATGTAATTATGTTAATAACGAAGATGACAACTGATATGATGAATCATGCAGAAGAATATTCAAATGGTGTGAAAAGAGAAGTGCCAACGTTTAAGGAATTTTATTTTTTAAGTAGTTACAAGATTTTCCAAGGGAAATGTTACAAAAAGTTGGAAAACATTGTAGCTTCATTTCAGTTGAACATATATTCCCAGGAGCGTTCCTCTGAGGTAAGAATGCTTTTTTGGGTACATTTCGTGGATAATTATTGACACACTTAGGCTGCTTGATTTGCACACTGGCAAATGCTAGTTATGTACCCCTCTGTGACTTAGCTTTTTGAGTATGTCATGAGTTCCTCATACATATATTTATAGTCTCTCTAGCCTAATGAAAGCTGATCTGTTTGGACTCAATTTTAGCATGCACTTTTTGAGCAAAATTGTTAGATGCAAATTTGTCATGTTGTACAGATATCAACGAGTGCGCATCCACCCCCTGTTTGAACTTTGGTGACTGCGTAGACCTCGTCAATCAATACACGTGCCGCTGTGCTGCAGGCTACTCCGGCACCAACTGTGAAATCAGTGAGTACCCATTCTCTTGTCTACAGGTGACTTGAGTTTTGAATACAGGATCTCCCTACAAGCTGTATTGCTACCATTGCTGTGCCCATCTGTGTTAGCCCAAGGATTAAAATTTGGGATTTTTTGTCCGTTTTATTTTGCCCATAGATGATGACGAGTGTACAAGCAACCCATGCTACAATGGCGGTATTTGCATTGATGGCATCAATTCTTACACTTGCCAATGCCGTGCTGGATTTGCTGGACTTCGCTGCCAAACTGGTGAGGAATTCAACACAGAAAACAATCAAAACTGCATTGTCTCCTCATGTTCATTTTTCTGTAAATACATACAAAATGATGCTGACTGAAAACAACCTTTCAGTGTTTAGCCGATTGACTCCATGTGGAGTGTCTTGAGATCAGTCAAATGCTGTAAAATAATTGCTTCAGTTAACACCAGTGTACGACAGCTGATCAGGGTTTTTTGAAAGAAAAGTGGCTGAAATGTTTTCAGAGGAGAGGAGTAGAGATAAACTGTTGATGTCGATATATACTGGGGCCTAAGGCCCTAAAGCAGCAAGCCAAGAGCTGCAATAGTGAACTTCACTTCAGCCAAGAAAGTTTGGGATCAGTTTCCAGTTACGTGAAAGTAGGCCCATTCAACATTGGTCAGGAATTGTCAACTGTTCCTCCACTTTCAAAATCTGCCTTTCCATGGGAATGGTAAATTTTTTTTGAGAATTATATTTATGAACAAACCATGCCAGGAAACTGAATAAATAATGGCATTATTTATGAAGATTAAAAAAGAAATTGAGTGGAGTGGGATTTGATCCAGTGACGTCTAGAGCAATGTGCTGGATTTATATTCAAAAAGTATAACTCAGTAAACAACATGAACATGCTGCACTTGCGTGGCTTCCATGACTATCGTGCATGATGGTAGTCGCCAGGTCCTTTGTTTCGCCATTTACTGTGTTAACCAATCAGACTTGACAATAGGTGGCAAAATTAGGGACCTGGCGACCATACAGTCATGTGTGTCATATTCATTTTTGCGTTCCAGTTTTATGTGTGCAGTCAGTTGAAGAAAGCCAATTTTTTGACAGTGTGAAACAGTCATAAATCCTGCATCTCAATTGCATGGAAATTGTTCTGTGTCTTCTGGCGTAAAACAAACCTCAAGACCTCTCTAGGCTTCTTCAGTTTCTAGTGCCTATTTCTGGAATTCTTTTTCCCAAGAACATTCACAACATCAGTTCTCTGAACAATTTGAAGCGTACATTAAAAAGTTCCATTTTCTCTACATGAATTTTGTAATTTGTCTTCTGGAGTTTTTCTTTGTTTGCTCATTGTACCTCGTGAAACTTTGCGTTATTAATTCTGTTGCTCCCTATTGTTATTATTCAGATGTCGATGAATGTGCCTCTATGCCTTGCCAGAATGGTGGCGTTTGTGAAGATCAGGTCAATAGCTATCGGTGTAACTGCCTGGAGGGCTTTGCTGGAGTCCACTGCGAGACCAGTGAGTAGTGTTTACTGTAAGACCCGTTCATGCTGTGGCGAATGTGAAAGTAAAGCAAGTTTGATGTCACAAAACATTTACAAAGAAAATTCATAATGTCAGCAAATGTACATGTAGTTTAATTTATATCTCTGTCAGCGTGCTAATAAATGTGACTGTTTTCAATAAGTGCTTGAAATTTTCACTCACCTTCCATTTCTGCTGTGTTTTGTTTCAGATACCAATGAGTGTAGCAGTGCACCTTGTGTGAATGGTGCATGTATTGATGAGATCAATGGTTACATGTGTGTCTGCAATGCTGGCTACACTGGCGTCAACTGCGAAACTAGTGAGTTGAGATCAACTTTTGAAACCCATTTCAGACAAGGGGCAAGGTTTACAAAATATCACCCCTTTCCAATCCTGCTCTCAGTTTATCCCAGTCAACATTCCCCCCCCCATTTCCAATCCTTTCCAATCCTGCATCCAGGATATCCCAGTCAACATTTCACCCCTTTCCAATCTTGCACTCAGGCTATCCTATTCAACATTTTACCCCTTTCCAAATCTCACACCTAGGATATCCCAGTCAGTATACCAATCCAGGCTAAAAAAGATTAACCAGTTCACGCTGGGGGATCTAATATGAGAACAGATACATGTACATGTTGTGCGTGTGCGCTTTATGATGCCGACACACGTGCGTCTGCAAAAAACGACCGGCGCAAACTGGTTAATATGTATGGTCAAGTGTTACTTCAGGCATGGAAGTAGTCACAACTTGGAATAATTCTATGTTGTTTACTGAAAGCTAATGTGTAAGTTTTTCTCTCTCAGATATTGATGAGTGTGCCTTGAATCCATGCCGCTTTGGAGGGACTTGTACTGATGGGATTAATGGGTACTCCTGCCAATGTGTCCCAGGCTTCACTGGAGACAACTGTGAAATCAGTAAGTTGTGCCACTCATTTGAATTTAAGCCTAAGGAATGTAATCCAAGGGAATGCATTGGCTAGACAGGCCGTGGAAACTCAACCGTCAAGTATAAACCAGAACCCAGGTCCAAGTAGGCACTGGATTATCCCCATCAATGCACGCTGAAGTTCATAATCACTGTATGAACCGTCACTGTTTGCTTTTTGTAGCCATCTGGAATGTCTGGCAAGCTGGCAAGCAAGTCCATCACCGAGTTACCCAGTAGTTCCTTAGCCGTCCGTCATCTTTGTATTTAATTTGTAACTGGATTTGTGATTTGACCGATAATGAATCCAACTAAACTCTGCTGTACAAGAAATAAAGCTTGTTCTTTAACCCACCATATCATTACATCACCTTTGTGTGTATTTTTGGAATAAAGAGAGTGAACTCAAGTCATTTTCTCATTTCATGGCTTTCATTTCTTCGTACAGACATTGACGAGTGCGCCAGTCAACCCTGCCAGAACGGCGGATTTTGCCGTGATGCGGTCAACTCCTTCTCCTGCATTTGCCCAACAGGATTCACAGGGGTCCTTTGTGAAGTTGGTAAGCATTATTAATGGGAAGTGAGAGCATCATCAGATTCAACAGTCACTTTGGGAGTCGAGTCGTATTTGATATTAACGGATACTCCTGTCCTTAAGAAGAAACTTTCCTCCCGCTAAATATGGTCCAAACTATCCATAGCAAAAGTATTGTTCAGAAAGGAAAGCTCATGTGTCCTGACCTACTCTTTTATAAAGAATCAACCATTCTTGAACGTTTTGATGCCTTCTACTGTTTTTCAGTCTACAGTTCTGCCTCTCAGCCTATTACCTTTGGTTGTTTAGCTGTTTTTTCCCTGCTGCTTCTTCTGTGTACATAAACTTTCTGCCTTCTCTGTACATAACTTTCTGACTGCATTCATTCTAGTTTTCCCAATCCCCTTTTTGCTGTTTATTTAAAAAATGACAGATACCAACGAATGTCAGAGCAACCCATGCCTTAATGGTGCAACATGTCGAGATTCTGTCAATTCCTACATCTGTGACTGTATACCAGGCTACGAAGGCACCCTGTGCGAAATCAGTGAGTCTTTTGGAATGGTTTGACGTAGGCCATTTCTGAATTATTGGCTACAGCTTGAAACTTCACACAACTCTATGGGTAGTGACTGCGTACTTTCAAACTGCAGACAAATAATTTAGACAGAGCCTGTGACTTAGTATTTAGGAGTAGTCTGCATCCTGTCTTGCTTTGAACTTCACTTTGGAGCATGTACAGGATCCTTGCCATGTTTAATACCTCTTTGTCATACTTTGTTTAAAAATGGACAAATTGCTTTGTCAGTTTTCTGTGCATGATAATCGGTTTGTTTAGAAAGGGTTAGCTTTTTCCATCTGCTAATGAAACCAGAACTTACACATTTTCATGTGAGAATTACAAGGTAGAATTAAAGTTGCCTCTTTCTGGGGCTCCATGAACTATTTTGGAGGGGGGCATGGGCAGTTTGGTGCATTTCTTTAAAAAATTGTGCACATCAACCAACAGTCAGACAGGCCATCATTCAAGTCTTTACTTATCTCTCTCTTTTACAGATGTCAACGAGTGCGCCAGCAATCCTTGCCGTAACAACGGCAACTGCAATGACCTGGTCAATGGTTACTTTTGCGTGTGTGCTCCAGGATGGAATGGACCAGCCTGTCAATTCAGTGAGCTTATTTCTTTTGCTGCATGTTTTTTTTTACTGATCCATTCCTGCCCTTCTAAGGCTGAGTCAGTTTAAATAGTTGAATATTTCACCTTCCATTCAATTGAATATCCAAATATTTGGTTGGAGCAAACTCTTACAAAAGCAAACCAAAGTGTACATGTTTTTACAAAATAAAAAAAACAAATTAAAGGGAAAGCCCCCATGTTTTACATATACATCTATTCCTAATGCCTTTAAGTTTAGTTGTAACACCTTGAAGTACACTTTTAGAATGCCAATTTGTAAGCAAATAATCAACTTTCACCCTTTATTTTGATTTTCGTCTCCAAATATTTGATTTTATAAATAAATATTCATATATAGAATAATCAATCGAATATCCAAATAATTAGCACAACCTCAGGCCTTTCTGTCATGAAATATTTTCTTTGACACTGCTTTCTTTGGCTCAATTGGCAGACACTGACGAGTGTGCCAGCAATCCTTGCTTCAACGGTGGGCGATGCATTGACCGCGTGAACAGCTTTGAATGTCGCTGCGTTCAAGGATACACTGGATTAAACTGTGAAGTTGGTAAGAAAGAGACGAGGGTTTGGTGGTGAATATGCTTCGCAGGAACTGTGAGCAGTGAAAATGACCAGATTGCTAAAAGTATGACAAAGGAGTTAAATAACATCAAGTGCAGCAGTGAGGGCAAAGAAATACATTTCTTCAAGCTCAGTGACATAAATTTGAGTTTTCATTACTTAAAGTGTTAAAGACGGTCTAAAAAATCAGGATTATGTGTTGTGGGCATCTGTAATAATAATATTAATTACACTAGAAATCTTTTTTTGTAGATATCAATGAATGTGAAAGCCAGCCTTGTCGCAATGGTGGACAGTGTTTGGATCTGATCAACATGTACGAGTGCCAGTGTCCCACCAACTACGCTGGGATCAACTGTGAAATTTGTGAGTCCCAGAATGCATTTTGGTTCTCTTTTCTCGTTGAATTAATAAATGATGCATGGCTTTTAAAAGACATCACTTGTTCTCGTTAAAATCATATAATTTTCACTCTCAGAGTAAACTAGTTCTCAACCCAAACAGTTCTAGTTTAAAGTGGGTAGCCCAAAGCTTGTACAGCATGTACGTATTATTTTTGGAGGGAAGTTCAATTAGTAAGACAAGTTCGGCCATCAGCTTAATGCCCAACTTTGGACTTTTGTTTAACAAAGCCTTTCCACTAGTGCCCTGCAGTCTTGTTACCTAATGCCCAGATCCATGCATTGAACATCACATGGGCAACTTTAGTTTCATTAATATTTTTGTGAATGCATTACATTATACTGGACCTTCTGTAGGCTTATGTTCATTTTTTTCACCCTGATCTTCTTAGCTCTGGATGCCTGTATGAGTGCCCCTTGTGCTAACGGAGGTCGCTGTGAGAACCGTGGAGCAGACTTCATCTGTTTCTGTACTGCTGGGTACACTGGTACCGACTGTCAATATGGTGAGAAAAGTACCACAAAGTGAAGGGGGTGAAAGGTTGGATAGGGACGGAGGGCATGTCTTAGACAGGAAGCAAGGTTTGGGAAACAAGTTTTACAAGTTAGAACTTGGTGGTCGCACAGTTTGTTGGAAGTTTATTTGTTATATTTCCAAGAAACAAAGCAGTATGGACTCTAACAATGAATAAGATGATTCCTACTTTTATCAAGACTGGGAGTGATAGTCAGTCGATTGGGTGAAATTTGACTTGTGTTCAACCAACCACAGTCCAGAAAACGACTGGCCCTTAACTTTTCTTTCTACAAATAAATCTGGAACTGTGCTGTTTTGAATTGGTTTTCAACATGCGATCACTTGCTGGGGCTTTTCCAAAATCGTCAACTTGTGTATTGGCATCCCCCATATAATTAATTCTCCTTACAAAGCAAGTGCCACACAAAGGTGTCACTTGGATTTTTTCTGGTAGGAGCAAAGCAGTCATCAAAAAAAGTTGATAAAGCACTAATAATCAACTGAGGTCAATTTCAAAGTATTTTTAAACAACCAGTGATTTCCGTCCCCTTTCATTTCTTTTGATTTCATTCCCTTTTGTTTCTGTTGTCCCCGTTTTACTTTCTTTTTTGTTTGCTGGGGGAGGTACTTTTGTGGATAAACATGATGTCCCCCTGAACTTCCCTCTCGCTAATGATGTTACATGTGAGCCGATTGTGCTGTAAATGGGCCAATGTTAAAACCATCCATGTTCCCCTTATGTAGAAACAAATGAGTGTTCTAGCCTGCCCTGCCAGAACGGAGGACTATGCATTGACGGTATGCTGGACTACACATGTCAGTGTCCACAGGGTTACACTGGACGCAACTGCGAGTCAGGTACGTGCAGTTGGCAGTATTTGCATTTGCTGTAAATCTCGCAATATTTTATTTGAGTGTCCATATATGATTCCTAACAGAGTTGTTTTCAATTGTTATGCCACTTTTTAGATATTGCAATTAATCGTTTGAACAAGAATATAATCTTTGTCCACCCTAACCCTGCCAGAGTGTTGTTAGTTAATAGTCTATCTGCCCTGAGCAAAAGCACCCCCTCATTGGTTGAAAATAGCCATGTTGGTTGGGAGTGTTCACTTTGTTGGTAGTGATGCAACTACAGCGCTTGTGTTTCATAGTCATTTGTGAACCAGCGATACGCAGTTACTACCAAAGGAACCTCTGTAGCTGGGAAAATCACACCCCCTCTTGGTCCAGCAGATGTCTGCAGTGAAGCACTCTAAGTATTTTACTGGCCAAAACACTTATGGGAAGTTGGCGGTAACATGACTGCTTAAGCCAGCCAGTTAACATTGTTGTTGCAATCTACTCCATATAAAGGGAACCTTGTCAATCCTCTTCTTTCACAACCAGCACACTACTTTGTCAAAAACCAAACTGAACCAGAGGGGGTTAAACATTTCATTCACGATTCGTTCACTCCACATGCAGTAACATTCTGCGACCTCCAGGGAACTTGGTACAATGACATCGGCGACACCATAACCCTCTCCCAGACAGCCTCTGGCATGCTGCTCGGAGAATTCAGGTCCAAAGAAGAGAGAGACCGTGGATATATGGGTAAGACCAGGCTGGTGAATTCTGGAACCCAAAGAAATTTGTCAAGGGAACCTTCCATAGACTTTGTAAATACATGGTATTCTGCATCATTGATAACATTTCAAAGTAAAAGCGTTAATGAAAGACTCTTGAGTGTTGTTTTGCCTTGCCGCCACTCTTTGTTGCAATCCGAGATGCTGACATTTGTGCAATTCCACTGAAAATTTGGCTTGGACATTTTTTTCTCTATTACGTGAACTTACCAGGCATGCTGCCTTTAACTGGCTCACTTGACAAAGAGGGTGTATAATCACTCTCCAGGCGCATTCTCCATCAGTTCCCGGTGGGTCAAAATTATTCCACCCAAGACTTTAGTGTGTAACTGGTGAAATTAATATTACCAGTGTGTTTCATTACATAATGATCCATGCCACCTCAAAGAATGTGCTGAATGTGCAAAATTTTCCCCAAAATGTTTAACTTGTATTTTGAGTAGTATTGAATGCATTTCATTGTCACAGTTCCGACAATCGTTGTTGGCTATGCTGCCCAAAACGTCAACTTCCCAGCATTTGGCTTTACGGTTATCCGCAACAATGGCCAGATGGCCTTCAGCTGGACTGGTCAGTGCCAGTGGTGTGGCGATGCCGAGGTCCTGGTGACCAACTGGATCAAGATGACCATGGTCAACACGTGTGAACTTGCCAAGCATGCCACCCTGTAAGATTAGTTGTGCCATTTTGTCTTTATTTATGCTATTGTCCATGAAACCCTAGGGTCAAGTATATTGGGGCAATGAGCTGAGATATTTGCTTTTCAAAGAAAACCATAGTACTCTGAGATTAACTTTAAAGTTTTGAAAGAAGTTTTCCTGAACTGTTTCTTCCTGTTTTGTTTCAGAACTGGTCAGGATCATTGGACCAGATATGAACAGCAACTGCAGCCCTGCAGACTCAACTAAATGGCGCCCTGTTGTGAGAATGAACTGCCGGGCCAAAATCGGCACCTTCAGGGTTCAAACTAGCTTGTCAAATACATGTACAAAATTTACAACAAAACTTACAACTGCAGAAAAAACGTGCCTATGTGTTTCATTGAAAGCTAGTTTGATCTGTTCTTTGTTTTATGAGCTTTTATACCATAATATACTTCTTTAATGGTAAAGGTGATGGTGTTTAGATTATTTCACAAAATGTTTCAAAGGAGTGAATGCAATATCATCACACTTCAAAATGTATTTTTTTTTTCGATGACACAGATTTTGAAGTTCTGTAGTGAGTTGTAATCATCGTTTGGGGGAACTTTTTTCGGATGCATACATACTGTTTTTCCACACTTTTAAACAAAAGCCATTGTACATTTTACGAATAGCCCTACATTTTGGTAGTTAAAAAATAATCCTTGTTAGGCTGTGGTACAAAATGGAAATTTGGGTGGGTTTGAGTGTTGTTTACATATATCATTATATTGAACATAATTTTTTCCCCTTTGTGTGAATATTCAAACTGATCAAACTTCACAGATTTGAAATGTCAAGACTGTTGCAAAATCTGGTCTTGGGAAATCTGGTCAGGCGAAATAACCACATTACTTTAATAGCAAATATGTAACTTACTTTCTCTGTATCTTTGAAACTTGAACTCCATCGTAGAAGGTAGGAGTGAGACAAGTTCATTGCATTTTCTTGCAAGAGGAGTCTGGAACTAGACAGAATACCTCAATGAAAAGTACTTGAATTTTCTGACACGTGTGTCCCTTTTGCTTTTCTAATTACAAATAATACTTACAATATGTATTCCATCTTTAAAACATTTACATGTTCAAGGTATGTTGAAATTTTGTTGATACTATCTTGTGTCAAAGAAATCAACTGGAATAACATTATAATGTCGATCACAACCTTGTACTTAGGATCTGGTTTTGCTTTTCGGTGATGGCTTTTGTGGCAGTCTGTATTCTTGTGTGTTAAGACTTTGCAATGAATTACACTGGTCATGCACAATGAATCATCCACATGTTCATCATGCTAAAATGAAAACAAAATTCCGGTTACAGAACATTGTTTCATTAATTGTACATAACAGCTGTCGCTCCATTTATCTAAGAATATTGCATAATAAACCGGCCCCACCGATTTTAGTTTTTTTTCGTGCGTTCATGCTTCACATTCTGCCTCCGAAACACAGGGTAGCTTTAACTGTAGGTAGTGTTTAAGCAAATGATTATTTTCTCTGTAGTTTAGCATATGGTGTGAGTAAAGAGCTTTGCTTATCCCGAAATATGTTGATGAAAGCTCAATAAAAGGTCCGTTTTTATTTGTAAGTAATCGGTGGCAGTGAGTTTTGAGTTTAATTTAAAGGATGCGTAAAGCATTGTATGGCAGTCCATGACGCATCCCCCGCCTTTTACGTGATGAATATGCATATGTCACTGAAAACAAGTCCAAAATTCCTCTCCTGAATGTCCTTGGATGTTCAGCATCTTTGATGGTCCAAAATTATGTCAACTGAGATAATGCAGGATTCGATACAAGTAGTTGCAAATGCAGTTGGTGCAGGTGTCTGTGCCGACACCTACGCGTTAGCCACCCCGTAACTTCTACGATTCTGTTAACTGTTTATTTTATGTGCCGAGTTTGGTTTTTTTTTATTTCAGTGCTGCTTTATCACCAACGTCATTTAAATACAACTTTTTGATTGTCTTTTTCTTTAGTTTATTAGGAGATTGATAGTTTCTATAAATCCAAACATTTTTTTCTCTCCGCGGTATTTCAAAGTCATTGCTATTTTGTCCTGAGGTTCCCAAGTAGACAGACGAGTACGACCAACATGTGAACAAAGCAAACTATACACCTCAAAATAAGGCAAGAACTACTTTTTTCTGTAACTTGTAGTTTTTTCCAAGCAGTAAGTGGGGTCTAGTTCTTTCATTTTTTGTTTGTCTGGATGATGTTCTCCTTGGAATAAAAAAAATTTAAAACTTTTCAAAACATCAAATGTACATTTTCAGCAGTAAAATATCTCATTGGCAAAGTATGCACAAACAAAAAAGTGGCCCTTAACTGTTTTGGAGTAGTGTATTATGAGAACACGTAAAATTCCACGAACCCCAGTGCGCGGGCCACTGTCGCAGGTAAAGTGTGCCTACGATCTCTGCAGGTTTTATCGTCTGCCGGCTGTATGCAGGACTCATTTTGCACCAATAAAACGGTTAAGTTGATTGGGCAATGGCAAAAAGGAGCTTTCGCGAAAATATGCAAATTTCTCAAAGTTGTTACCAGTGGCCAATGGTGTTGCGTCTTTGATGCGAGCTGTAGTCATGAAAAATTTCCGCCATGCGACGTCGCAGAAAACCGTGTCGATATTAAATGTGAATAATTATCAAGCTTTTTGAAGACGACACGGACTATATTTAAGGTAATTTCAGTTACTTATAGATACTACTATCTGTGTAGATATACAGAACGCTGTTCTTGAACTATGATAGCCTGTATTGATGAGTGATATTGTGAAAGTTCCTGACACACCTGATGTGTTAGCATGGTTAGGCAGGCAAAGGATATCCTTATCCCTGGCAGTAGTACATTCGGAGTAGTTCTCTAAGGTTTCACTTTGGATTTGATAGGCCTGCCGTGCCTACTGTGTTGCTTGTTTGGGGCCGTCATATTTCGGGGTAGACTTTTTCATCTGCGTCGTACTGAGTGGTGCCTGCGTGTCCAGGGAACGGGTGCTGGCTGCGGCGGCGCGGAATGCAACTCTAGATTTTGCCTGGGGAGAGTGCTGAAGTTGACAGCTGAAGGCATTGACCTGTTTAACCCAAACCCCTAGGCCAGGTAGGCCTGTGTAAACTTATATTAAACAGGTTGAAATCGGAGGATTCAGGACTGTTACTAGTGTTAAGGTTAATCTTGTACATTCTGTACTCTCCCTCGGCTTAGGCTTTGGTAGGCCAAACTATATAGTGTAAACATGACAAACCATGTAATTGGGCAAACAAATGTGAAGAAAGACATAGGCCTATGGTGGCCCTGAAAGGACATCACCAATGTCAAATTTGGCATGTTATCAGGAGTTTGTGCAACCCGAGGTCACAGCGAGATGAATTAACATAGTTGTAATGGATCTGGATTTGTGACTCTGATAAAACGGGTATCCGCATCATATCAGAGAATGTAGTGTAGTGGTTTGTTTTCACTGCAAAAGGTGACAAAGCTCCAGGATGTCACAGAGAGTTGCGTCCTTCCATAGGCCCGCAGGGATGTAATTTTTTAATGGTACTATGGTCAGATGCTATTTGAAAGGAATTGTCACTGAGTTCTAGATGCAAGGGGTCATTTGACACCAATACACCCGTCCAAAATTCATAACTCACCCCAAGTTGTGAATATTGACATTAACCCTAACAGTCCCCAATCCTTCACCTGTTGGAGGACTGAGGATTGTTAGGGTTAAGAGAGGTTATGTATTGAGGCGGAGTTTGAGGGCAACAATGATGAGCTCAAGTAAACCTTTTGTGCATCCATGGTAACAAAACTAAAAGTAACTAAGAACAGCTGCCAAGGCACCAGCAATGTATAACTGCTATTTTCACATCCTACGCGTAAATTTATAATTCACTCTCCAGGTCATAAATATTATCATCAGCATTCACGTCCAAAATTCAGGATGTGCTCTCTGGATCGCAGAGAGTGTCAAGCATTTATTTCCTATAAGGAATGAGATGGATGCACGCACTGGAGGCTGTAAGCCTACTTGTACACTATGAGCATTTTCAAAATGAGTGGATTCAGCTTAGACTTCGGTTTTGCTGGTTCCAGTCAGTGCTTGAGCAGGTGATTTTGAATGCTGCTTCAAAATGGCTGGAACCAGTGAAACCAAAGTTGAAGCTGAATCTACTCTTTTGAAAAATGCTCTATGTGTGTGGCAAACCCAGTCAATGACCCATGACCCTTGCTCAGATTCATAGATATCAAGTGACTTTATAGAAGGGGCCTTGGTCTGCCTTACCAGTATTCACGACCTGAGGAGCGAGCCATAAAGTTACATGTAGAACATAAACATGGAGGTCAATATTGATTCACAATCTGGTGGGACAGTCATAAATTTTGAACGTGACTATTGAGGTCAGTGTTTGCCACTTGGGACAAGCTGTGAACTTTTGATGTGAACAATGGCATCAATAGAATAGTGACAATTGGTGGTGTCCCTTCAGAGCCACCATACAATGTACATGTATAACATGTACAGTAGTGAACAATGTATTATGTACAGTGTACAACAGTGTTGTATGACTTGAATCCAGGACTCAGAGTTGAGTCACACTTGAGTTACTTTTTTCATGACTCAGACTCAACTCGAGTCACATTGAACAATGACTCGGACTCGACCACGATGACTCGGACTTGAGCTTGGCGACTCATGACCATATACGCTGTCAAAAATTAATTTGTAATCACCCGTGGTATCACTGGTTTGCATGCGTGGAGCATCGTCGCAGTGCACATTTTCCACTTCGCCCATTTATGTAGGCTAAATATCCACTGATGAGTCAACCAGATGCGTCATGTTCCATATCCACAAACTGTGCGGTGGTTATCAGACTATGCGTTGGCCGCACATTTGTTATTTACACTCGAGTACAGGTGTACATGTCCAGCCTCATAGTCTCCAGAACCAGTCACGAATATAAACACTTTTAGTGAAATGGCCAGGCTCACCTGTAAATTAAAAATGCGTGGCCTGCACTGGGCGTGTGAAGTTGCTTGGGCTTGGGCGAAAAGGTTGTGTGTTGGAATGGGCGTTTTCGAAATGACTGGATGTTCCTCTGTGGTTTGATACACTTACATGTAGAATAATTGGCTGAACAACTTGATTCATGCCTTGTGACCCATGACTCGGACTCGGACTTGAGGTTTGTGACTTGTGACTCATACTTGGACTCGAGGTTTGTGACTCAAGACTTGGACTCAGACTTGAGTCTTGAGATGTGCATGTATGTGCATTGTATATTTTTTGTATGCCTTGCAATCTGCATTAAAATGAAGCCCAGCGCTATATTTCAAGGGACTTGTAATCTCAGACAATGGTCACTTTCAAAAGTCTTCACTCTTGTCTGTGTTTTTAATTAACTGTGGAGAAACAAACTGTTGAATAATTTTTTGAATTGAATTAGTACAGGCGATACACAATATAGTGCACCACCAAGAGGTCACAACAGAAAGGGCACTTTTTGCTATGCATTGTGGGGAAAGTCAACAAATTATATATGCCCACTGTGTGAGGCCAACTTAATTTTTTCCTGATTTTTTTAATTAGAATTTTCCTTCCCTTTTATATGCAGATTTACAGGCTATTTCTCTGGATATCCTGGCACAACTATATTTCTCTGGATATCCTGGCACAACTATAAACGTAGAAGAATATCTCTGGAAACAGCTCAACAATATATGTAAGTAGGATTAGTTTAAATCCTTATCAGATTTGGTTTAATTGTTGCGAAGATACTTGTATTATATTGCTTTCACTTTTTTAAGTGTTTGAATTAAACTTTAGGAGTGAAAGGTACCTTGATTGAGTACTTTGGTTTCCGGGGAAAAAGTACCTTTTGTTGTACCTTGCATTTTTTTTCACTGGTACTTAACTGATGCAATTATCTGAGAGTGTGGTAAAAATGTTACCTTCAGAAAATTCATCTGGAGTAGAAAGGGTAAAAATAGCTCCCTCGAAAGGACCCTTAAAACCCTCCTTTTATTGTAACTGTCAAAAGCAGTCAAAAATTCCTTCCACTTGATTTCCCCCATTACACAGACACATATGGGAAATTTGACTGGTTTTGACTGATAGGACAACTGGTTCAAGAATATGACTTTGCAAAGGAGGATTAAGGAAGATTTTATAAAAACTACTTTGAAAAGCAAATTGTATCGTGCATAGAGCTAAGGATGGTCTTACATCAAGCAAGCACGGGTTTAGCATGCAGAAAGGCAACCAGCAGGGCTTTAACGTAGCTTCAAAATGTCAGTCTTGATAATTGCTCAAATATGTAAACTGTATTGCAGGGACACATTCCCAAAGCCATCCGTTGAGTCTTTTCTAACTTTAGTTACCAAATATGCGTAAAAAAATATATCTTATTGTCATACAAACCTCCGGCTCCTCCAGATTTTGTAAAGATCAAAGTAAAATAGGTGGGCGGGAGCCAATTTAGTTGACTTGCTCGTTTTATTTGTAGGCCTAGATTCACTTTCAAAAGGAAATGTGTTTATTCTTTCCAAACAAGAAAGTTGTTGGTAATGATGAATGACTAGGGTAAATAGAATTTTCTGTTTGGAGTTACCGGGCATCTTTTGAAAAGTTTCAAACCCCTCCGCTTCACTCCAACTGAATAACAACATTAATGAGAGATCTCGCTGGGAGTTTTTGTTAGTAAACGTGTGGGCAGAGAAAATGTGTAACCATAATGTAATCGCGAATAAAATGTGTAACCCTTGACGCAGCCGTGAAAAAACCTCACACGTGAACTTTTCACCCGGACTGGAACTTTGTCAACTAAAGGTTAACGAAACCTTGCAAGCGAAATATTGCCAAAATTGAGATGTGTTCAACTACTCCATCTTCTCAATACGAGTGAATTTTCACCTCTACGCGGTTACTTGATAGTGGTTTCGAAGGGTATGTCATCAGTGCAGATGTGTGGGCCAGTGTGAGGTTTTTTAATGCTTGTTCAAAAATGCGTTCACAAGATGAAATGTGAGAGAAATGACTTCTAAGAGTGCCGACGTGTGACCTTTTTGCCACGGTGAGCAAACCAGAGCGTAAATTGAACCTTAAGGCAGCTTGAAGCATGCACCATGGCTGGGAAAGGGTTCCAGAGTGTTTTTGTGAGTTTGTTTCTGCATGCAATTGGGGACCCTGAACAATAGAGGACAATAAGGTCCCCGATTGACAACTGTGTACAAAATATATGGGTGGTCTTCTAAAAAAGTTGAAGTACGAACAATAGAGGAACAACAGGGGGTCCCCAGTTGCAGGCAAATACACACTTGTGTGTTTGTGTGTGTCGGTGTGTTTAGGGAGGGGAGGAAGCTGCGTGTCGCGGATCTTGTAGCTTTAAAACTTGGGTTTGATTTTGGTGTTAGTTTGTGGTCGCTTTCGTTCCGAAAATGATATGGCACTGGGAACGATCGAATGCTGAGACCACCATGGTACATATATGTTAAAGTTGCATTTTAGTTGCTCAGAGTTGACCCGACACGTATATTAAAGCGGAAACCTGCTTTGACGCGATGACTGCCGTCTATAAATAAAGGCATCACCTTTTGAGGATCCAACATTTTCATTCATTGCTTCTGCACGCTCTTATTGGAGGAGGTTCAATGGTAAATCAAGATTAGTTGCATTTCTTTTTCAATCTGGATTCTATCACTCAACGTATATCGTGTCGGCTCAAATAACCGTGATCGGGTGTTTTGAGTTGGTGCAGACAAAGTGCACATATATCTGCACAGCTATCTGTGACGTAACTGCATGGGGCATGCCCCTTCATCCTCGCCCAAGGCCCAGTACCTGGGCTGTGCCCCCCCCCAAGTTAAGAATGAAAAAATCTGATGATACTCTGCCTAGGTCAGTGTTTTAGCTTTCACTTCATGAGATCGAGGTAGTTTAGATCCAAAAAATGAGGGTCTCCATGTGCCCCTGCAAACTTTACCCATGCTAAGCCAATTATACCCAACCAGATCAAGTGAGAGCCCAACAGATAAAGGGGGGGGGGGGGGTTCTAGCTCTTTTGCCGGATATTGCACTCTTTTAGCTGGATAGTCTTTGTGGTTCTCGGAATTATCATGTACAATCTGCCTTGAGCAGAAGCACCCCCTCGTCGGTTGAAAAGAGCAATCTTTGTCGAGAGTGCTGTAGCGATACGACCGTAACTTGTACACTTCTTTATTATTGGCCTGTGAACCAGCAAAGTGCAGTTCCTACCAAGGGGCCTGCTTTGCTAGGAAAATTGCGCCCTCTCTTGGGCCAGCTCGGGGCTCATAAGATCACGACTGAGCAAATGAAGTCAAGGTTAAGTTTCAGTCTGTACGCAGAAGTTTTTATCGAAGTACTTTACTGAATGTATTTTTTTCAAATCTCATTGCACTGACACAACGATTTGGTTATTTAACAAAGTGCTCATTGGTTGTTTTATTGATGGCTCAGTTGTCTTGATTGGTCACATGGTTGCCCTTTCAAGTTTCGAAAGTCACGATTGAGCGTGAAGTAGCTTGACCTTTCACTCCCGAGTCTGCCTATCAGTATCAGTTTCTGAAAGGAAACACTGCTCATTGCCCGCTAAATCGGTAAAGAGTGTATTCTCAGTCACCTAGAGGGGTAGTGACCTGGTTTTTATGTCGCCGTTCTTTCTTATTGAAGTACTATCTTTAATTTATTCTAAACTTCTGTATTACTTTAGAGACCTTTCCTAGCGCAATATTCCTAGTCATGGGAAGTCCACAAACCGTGGACTCTGCATAATAATATAAATCAAATTTTTAGTCAAAAATAACGGAACCTAAGTTTTTTGTTTGCGATACATGCGATACAATTCCTTCCACCGACGAACAATTCTTCGCGTGCGAAGCGGCAAGCTGCAAAGCCTGGTTCCGGCACGCAATCCGCGATACCACCTTGTGGTCCGACCCGACAGAGCCCGGTGCGTTTTTACTGCTGTGTCGATATGTACCTAGCGCGCCGAAGCGCAAAGTTTAGCCGACCCTGACTCGGGCATTGCCCCCCGAACCCCTACCTACACGCTCGCCATGCACTCCCATCGCGTGACGCATGGTTGGCCTACTTTTCGATTCGGCGGCATCAATGGACTTTATAATTCGTTGTTCGATCATCACACAGAGGCATACGGCATCAAGCTGCCACTCTTTACTTCCAACACGTTGGTCAAGTTCAAAAGGCGAGAGTAAACTTAGCACGGCTCAGCAAGCTGGGATACCCGTACGCGGTAACATTGCCCATGGGATAGAAAGCCTCAAGGACCTGGGAATTCGCACTTGGCTCGTGGACAGTGTGAGATTACAATGTAATTCTCCAGAACTGAAGAAAGAAAGCTGCAAGCGGTGTTCGGTGAAAGCCCAGTGCGGATATCTTTCTTTAAAAATAAAATAAGTATCAATAAAAAAAATCTGGTTTGTTGTCTTGAATCACTATTAATTGCCAACCTGAGAAGATTGCATTGTCTTTTTAGCAAAGCCGCCATTGCAAACAACTTAGAAATTGTATAGGCAAAATGACATAAACCTAATCGTTACAGTCGTTGTCTTGTCTCGTCCAGTTGTCCCGTTTTGTCCTTTTTTGTTCAAGGCATGTCTACATGAGACCTAGTCTTTTTGATAATGCCTCCATTATAGCCTGCAGCTTCTTCTTTTCGTTCGCTTTATTTTGTCGCATATTTACTCCTTGTGTTTATTTTGTCATATTCCATACATGGCATAATGGAAATAAACGTTGAATTGAAAATTGATTTGAATTGAAATTTGTAATTAGAATGTGCATATTTCAATGCTGTTATAAGAAAACTTTCACAGCGTTCGAGTGTTGCATTATATTTAGACCATGTAAAATTCCTGGTTTTTATACACTTGATATTTCAACCAAGGGGGTTGTTTAAACGTAATGGTTAATACTCAAGCTGTACCAGTTTCATTTCATCTCAATCTGAAAAGACTTAAACTGGCGGTGGCACAGCAATCATATGCACATTCTTTAGCTTGACACACGCGTGCATTTGGCAAATCACTAAAGCCTATCGTCGATAGGCATGTACGGCGCGTACCATTTGTCTACAAACGCTGTGACACTGCATTAATGGCTGCTAATTCTGGTATCTGATCTCAGGAAACTACGTCAGCCCTGTCCTTGGGCGTGGACATTAGAGTCAGTGCGTTATGTATCTCAGCATCCGACCACTGTCAGCGTGGCTGTTATTTTTTGAGGGGGTCATTGGCTTAATTTTCAGTCCGGCGAGAAGCAAAGCAATCAGCCATATACGAACCGATAAACCATAGAGTGGGAGGGAGTCACTTTTTTTCCTTTCATCTTTCGTTTTCTTTTCTTCTGCTTTTTGCCATGTTTGTCCTGTTAATTTCAGTGTTTTTTGGGGGGGAACTCTCTTCCTTAACCCCCCCCCCGCAACGTCCATGCCGACCATTGACTTGATTCAAACCAGGGGCTCTGTCAACGCAAAGGTGGAACTGAAACTAACATATGGGCACATGTAAATGTCTTCAGTTCAAAGTCCTGCGCATCGTTTTTTTTTGACACCGTATTCATTTTCTATGTACCAACAGACATTTGTCAGCTCACTCAGAAGGTCAGCGGACATCACCAAATTCTAGTTACCAGTTATTCACCTCTTTAGGGACTTGGGTGTCACTGTTGGAAAAAATCCCGAGATTGTGATCGTGTGGGTTTTGGCACGCAGTTAATTTCTCTTAAAAGGTCACGCAACGTGATGCGGTGATTTCAGTTAACTTGTAGTTGGGAAACATGTCTAGGATGGATAACGCACCCCTCCAGAATCGAGAGGACAGTTACTTCTGACCCAATTACATAGAATTTTGTCCAAGAGGGCTCTCAAAACTCCATTGAGTTTTGAACTAATTACATCAAAAGGAGAAGAATATGTTGGCTATCAAACCCAATCAAGTGTAGAGCTGGTTCCGGGGTTCGTTGAAAAGGTCCAGGTGCTCCCCAGAAATTGTAATTTTTCTATTTGAGGGCGGCTGTTTAAAGCTCTGTGATCACCGTGAATTAGTGTTAATGCGACAGGCTTCAAGGTGGAAAGGGACCATTCTAACCCCACCAAAATGGCTCTTTTCGACCAATGAGGGGGTGCATCTGCTCAAGGCGTAGAGTTTCCGTTTGGAAGTAAAAAAATCACACAACCTTAATACAGACAAGGCCAAAATGTCATCTTCCCGCGTCTGCGTCATAATGCAGATTATTATCGGTAGCCTATATCTCTTCAACTGTCACAGCTGAGATAAACATTTAACCCATTTCAATACAAAATTAACAATATGGGTTTCTGAATTAAAAAGGGGGAAGCTGCTTAAAAGTTCAAATGAAATTACTGCTGCTGTATTTTTCCAATAGATATAAATTTCCTCGTCCGTTCAGTGTATTTTATATTTTTTAATTGTTTCAGTAAAATTATGTGTTTGTTTGTATGGGCGGCACCGCGCCGCGCCTGACATCGATCAGTTTAACACGCTCGCTTGCAGACGAGAGCCTATTCCATGCGTGCAGATTTCAAGATTAGTTCTGGAATACGACCTCCTCCTGAACCCCAGATCTCGACAGAACAACGGGCATGTACTATCGTGCATTCAACCAGAAAACGTGGCGCATGCTAGTAATCGGTTAGAGATCCATTGAAACGGTTGCTTTTCTTTCCCTCCACTGTTGTTCCCGTCAAGATTTTCGATATTGATAGAAAGATATAAACCTTATTCTTGTGTCTGACGAATCATGAGCGCTATGGCTTGGACTTAGGTTGAAGTTGAAAATTCATAACACCGGAGCTCACGCTTCATTGACACCATCGTCTGCTAACCAATCAACATCCTCTGTCACCATCCAAACATAAAATGACTTTATAACTGCTCTGATTGGCTGATAAGCTGCGTTGAATAAAATCTGAATGCGTGCATGTATCCGACGCTCCTGCGAAGCGCACGGCGAGGTAGAAGGGATGATACCGAGACCTGCCTGACATGGGGTCGCAAGGGATTTTTTCAGGGGACCCATTTTCGTTTGGGGAAAGTTATCCGAGGGGCCAAGCGTTCATCGGCTAAAAGTTTATAAACAAGGGCCAATGGGGTCATGTTGTTTCAGGTTTCCTTTTAAGCAAATTTGTGATTTTCATCTGCTGTTTCTGTTTCTTTCTCTTCCTCCTTTTTCCTGTTTTAAATGTTTCAGCGGGTACCGCAAATTCGAACCAGCCAATTCGATTCGAACCAGCCAGCCGACACCGGCAAGCGCGGTGGTCCAGTGGTTAAGACGTCTGCACTAGTAAGCTGGGTTCCCACCCGAGTACGCTTGTGGGTTTTTTCCACAAGCTTTCGGGGGCACACTGAGTATACAGTGTTAAATACACGTCAGGCAGGGCAAATTCAAAATTAATTTGTATCTCCCCGGCGCAAACCCATCTTTGAAATACATGTAGTTGCACATGTTAACATCAACATGGAATGCGAGTCTGGTGCCTATGATCTGGGTAGGGTATGTGGAGCTCAGGTGCCTCGGGCTTACGAAAACTTAATCTGGCCCTGGGTGGAGGTTTAATGACTTGCACACCCACACGTGGGTTCGAAACGCACCAAGGTGAGTTGGTTAAGTGCTTTCTCGCAGACTACAGGCTCCAGGAAAGTGCGAACCTAGCGTGCCTACAAACTGTATAAGGCCTGAGTAAGTACAAATGAAACCTTGTATTAGATAGACTTCAATCATACATGCCCCTATTTTTCGTATTCATTTTTTAATGTAAAACATTCAGGGGAATCCGCAGTTAAAATGTCCCCGTTCAGCCTTCGGATTTCCTGATAGTAAAATCCTCATCAATTTTCAGTTTCCTTTCATGTCCCACAAGGGGTAATACCAAATATAATAACAAAAATTCAAAACTTTCCCTGTGTGAGCCCGTCCTTAGAAGCGAAACCCCAGTAACCTGTGGGCCAGATTCCCCCCAGTCCGTCAAAATTGTTGAAACCTTTCCATCAAGGCACCTTCTTTGGAAATCGAGCCTGAGGGGACGAATTTGTTCCGGTTGTTGAAATCAGACTCCTAATGTCACGAAAAGGTTGCAGTATGAGAGAGCCTGAGGGAAAGGACTACGTGAGACACGTGCAATAATGATGCATCATATTAGTCTTTTGACTTTTGCCTGTCGGTATGCCAGCGTTCTGCCCGTAAGAACTTCGCCGACACAGTTTGAGCCATTGAAAGGTGGTATTTGGCCGTTCATCTTTCAAGACTTCGCTTAAAGTTTTTTTTTTATATGATTGCGAATCCAAGTCCGTTCAAATTAAAAAGATGCGTGAAGATAATTTGTGTAAGGTTAATTTCTTTCATTTGTAGCCTCTATGAACCAGTAAATGGTAATGCACAGTGTCGACGACTTCTGACATTCGTGTACGACCTTTTTTTAATAAGGGTTCCATTTCGTAACCGCTACCAAGTTCAGGTTGGTTTACCAAGATAAACCTGTGCATCGGCCATCATGCTGTTACTGTTATTGCGTCTCCAAGCCTTTGACAGGAGCCGTGTTGGATAAAATGCGGCATTGATGAGATTCAAGGGCACATCTGTTATCTTGCAAGGCCCCCCTCCACCACCACCTTCAACCTCATAGCCTGATGAATTGTCTGTTTACAGACACGCCACGAATATATTTGCACAGTTCAAGGTTATCTAGGTTAATTGCTTACAGTTAACCGCTCGCTGTAAGTTATACATGTATCGCCAACATGGCAGATATAAACAATACCCTTAGCGGTTCATGACGTGGCCATATCACAATATCGGCCATTCCGTGCAAGGAAATTTGTGCGTTGAATTTCAAGGTCATTTTTTCCCTCGGGAAAGGATTATGTCGGGCACTTCTTTTGTGAAGGCCGTGATGTTGGAAAACAACCAGCATTAACAGATAGTAAGACCCGTTATGTTTTATTTGCCAACTTGTTGGTTACTTCACATTGTACCCCAATTGGAGGTTGTGTAATAGCGTCAGTCTGCTAACATACACGTTGCTCTTCCTATACCAGATCCTTGCAAAGTCCAAATTTCGGTGACAGAGAGTCACTTCCATTGAAGAAACAATGTGAAATTAGTCTGTTATATCCAAGGAATTACTCTTATTTTGTGTTCAGCTGAGCATAAAGCTAAAGCATGTTTTGGCAGTCGTGTTTTTAAGACCATCCTGTAATGGTCTCCATACGTAAGCGACAGGGGGCGCTTTGTTCTTAGCAACGACTTTGCTCGTTTCACCGCCCTGACAGCCTGCTGGCTTCAGGATCCCTGACTTTTTTTCCAGAGCTCAAGGTGGATGCAGTTTATTTAAATTTTACCGGGGTTCAACCTTTTGTGTGGGCGTAAAACGTGCACACTGAGTCACTGTGCTTTCAGTGTTTCACAGTGTCTTTACTTCCATGACAATTTTTTGAGAAAGGGTGACGACAGCGAGGACGAGCGAAAGCAATGAACGGGATGCATCCACTCGACAGGACATGGCATTCTGCTGAGCCCATGCATGGTCCAATAAACCTAAATGCGCTCTTTCATTCTATTATAAACTTTTATTTTCAACCGAAAACGCGCAAACTAGTGTTGTTGGGCCTGGACGTTGCAATTTGACACAGCGTACAATCAACCTTCCTTGAGCATTCCTTTTCATTTCTTCGTTTCCTTTATAGCAATTTGTACATTTTTGTTATTTAGAATACTCGAACAACCGGAAAAGGTGGCCTTGTCTGCGCAAAGTCAGAGTCACTTCAAGGTCAGTAAACGTTGGAACTTCGTCACACAAGGTTCGGTACCAAATAAATCTAACCTCATTATCTTTAATCTCGTGTTAAATGACCCTAATTATTATCGATTTAATTCATGGCACGTGAGAGTACCCTGCAATACGGATCTGAGAGATCAACCGTGGAGCAAAGAATAGTGTACATGTATGGCAGGGCACCGTGAGATATAACAACGTGTATTATAATTATTGTATCGTCAATCCGAACAATGGAATGTTGTCACGAAAGATCATTTGGGATTTGCTGTGCGTGCATATCTAGCCATTGTATGTCCTTTAACCCTTTATATAATGACGGCTGAGAACTACACACCCCATTGTCACCGTTTCCCAATACAGGGCTTAGTATATATCAGTTTCACCCCGAGCGATAGCCGCATTATCCAAACTACAATTTCTTCACAAAAGTTGACCACTTCGGTATTATTTTCCCTTTCTTGGAGAAATAATTGTTGAAAGTTTCCCCAGTATCTTGGACAAGAATGGCACCTCGGTAACAAAACCTTCGACATTGTTCGAGAGGAAAATGCACGATAACAGAAGGCCGGGTTTTGGTGGTAAAGGTTAAAGGAAAAAAAAGCAAACAAAGAGAGATTTCGGTTTAATAGTGTAGCCTCTGCACCCAGCTTGTACTTCAACGCGTTGCATAAATTCGATGTAGAGTTCCATAACCTTGTAAAAGCAAAGTTTAAAGGCATATCTGATATCGAGGAGTGTTCTCAGATACAGTGATTAATGCTTTTAAGAAATACAAAGCGTCTATCAGGGTGAATCAATTTATTACGTTTCCACGCATCGTACATGTGGACTCGTGTTTCATGTTTCTTTTACTTGTTTAATCTTAAAGTTGATTTATCTTTCGCTTGTGTTAACTTTCACGCTTGTTGAGTGTTTAAATATGTTACCTTTACTCCTGTATCGATGCTTTTTACTGAGGTCGCTTTTCTGTTCATCAGTCAAAACGCCAATCAGTGTTTCAGTCAAGTAAATACAAAGTGCAAGTTATTCGTTACCGTTATGCTATCCAGGAAAAGCTTGCCTCTTATAATCAGCTGCTGATTATTTTCGATACCAAGTAAAAAGCCGTATGTTGGATGGCTGCTGTAGCTGTTTTTTATACTTAGTTCTAAGGCTGTGTTTAAGGGTGTTTAAGAACGAGAACAAGAGTCATTGTCATTAATCATGCAGGTCAGGTTCAGTTCATATTTAACAAACATGTTGCCTGGTTTTATTTGTAAATGTGTAGATACAAAGTGAATTTATTGCAGGAGCGAGGTTGCGCTTTAATTTGCTCTAGCTGTATTCATCCTATAAATCAGTGGGTAGAAAATTGTTGCATCGAACTTGACACATTTGTGCAGATAGGTCACGAGACAACGGCAACCTTGGGGGTCAAGGGTCACCTGGAGTTGAAAGGCAGGTTTCCTTTCCAAACAGTAGAAATATTTGTGCACGCACCATCAGAAATCTTCGTCGGACGGAGTGTAAGTCAAGAACTTGACTGTGAGTTATAAAAGGCAGGTGGATTTTTGTGTGGGATTTCCGAACGTCAGTATCGTTTCTTAAGTGCTAGTATGTGTATTAATATTTTGTTTTGAGGGAAGATAAAATGTTTCTAATAATTTGAAGAATTCAGTCTCCCTTGGTGATTAGAAATAGCCTTTATGCCCCGAAGAAATATCACTATAAACTTTTTCCAGTTCTCAAATAAATCCACGGGGAAGCTTGGCATACCCTATGTCATTTTATACAGAGATACTCAGTGGTAGATTTTTGTGTATAAAGTGCTTTGCCCTTGTTCACAGTGGCGTATCCGGCAAGTGAGTGAAAGACGCCTGTTTTAAAAAAAGTCAGAAGTTCCCGGTAAAAGGCGAAAAAGTGTGTTCAATCCCAGAACTCCTTGTAATCAACAGCCTGTGAAGAAAAATAAAGAGCTCAACCTTTACGGAAAAGGCCTAGATGATCACTGCTGTACTACTGTGATGCAAAATTTTTTGTGCGCATAACGTGCGAAAAATAAGCCTAGATGATGTTGCGAATTATTTCCCATTGCGATGTTTCCAGGGATGGAAGAAGAATCTTGACGAAATTCATTGGATGTTTTTCTGCGTACCTATTCTATAGCTGGCCTTCACGGCTACCTCAACCTTTTCATTTGATTAAATTCTTTTCAACAGTGTACCTACTCCCACCCCCGCTTTGTGACAATGGGACAGCAGTTTCTGGCCTACTATTTATCTGTTGAGAGAACTTAACCTAGCCTTCTACATATTGCACCCTTCCACCAACTTCAGAGTGAATGAACTTAAGCCATCTCCATTTTAGTGTTTTATATTCCGGGGGGGGGAGATTCTCAGGATCTTGAGAAAACTCGGTAGCCCTTATCGGCTAAAGTAACCCTTCCTATGCCTGGATGTACTTGGTTTTGACGGAGCGGCGGGTTTTTAGGGGTGCACGATGGATAGACCAACCACTATTCTCTGTCCTCGGCGCTGACTCTGATAGCGTGCGTTTTGGGCGACTTCACACGAAAGACGGGAAAATGACAATAGTGTGGTCTGTGAACGTAGCACGCGAGCGCGACAATAGATGTAATACTCGTGTTCCCGTTATGCACATAGCGTGCCGTTCTCGAAAGGCTTATCACGGCATATTGCGTGTGTGAATCTCCAATGAATTCGGAGGTCAAAGTACTCAGGGAGCTGCGCTGTGGAAAATGCGGTGATCGGCCTGAAGAGTAAAAAGTATATAAGGCAGTCGACCGTGCCAATTCATGTCACAGATGACTTTGAGAGGACTTGTGAATCACATCTCTCAAAACAAAAGATCGGTTTGAACTTGAAGTTTTTGAGTTTTCAACACTTATCCAACCATGTTGATTGCAACTAGTCAGGCCGTAATGGCACACCTTATGCCGCAGGTGCCGTCAACCATTACCTGGGCAACTCTTGTTCTTACCATCATCCTCACCATCCTCATTCTAGAGGAGATAAGACGCACAGTAAGAGGATCCACAGAAAATGTGTCTTCCAAGAAGGGAAAGGCACTTCCTGGTCCCTGGGGCCTACCCTTGCTAGGCAATATCCTGCAGTTGGGGGCAGCACCTCACATCACCCTCAAAGAAATGGCCCATAAATACGGGGACGTCTTCAAGATCTGCATTGGTAGCCGTCCCGTGGTGGTAGTGAATGGCTATGAGGCTGTCCGGCAAGCTCTGGTCAAGCAGTCCGTCGACTTTGCAGGCAGGCCTGACTTGTCCTCATCCAGGCTCCTGAACGATATCTTCGGTCGCACGATTACATTTTCCACTCACGGCGAGGGCTGGAAAATGCACCGAAAGATCATCGCGTCGACCCTCCGTCATTTCACATCGGGGAGTCAGCTGAGCTCGGTGGGAGCCAGGATCAGCAAAGAAGCTAAGGAGTTGATTGAGGAGTGGACAGCCCGACGAGACCAGAACAACAACACTGACAAGGCAGTCAAAAGCCAGCATCACCCCTTCAGTATTCTGAAATTGTCCGTAAGCAATGTCATGTACTCGTACATTTTCGGCAAGCGGCATACCCTTGACGACCAGAAACTGTTGGATTTTTTGGACATGAGTGATGCTTTTTCTGAAGCCATTGGCACAGGCAACCCCGCTGACTTCATGCCATGGCTGCGGTTCTTCTCCAGTAGAATCCACGACAACGTTGAGCGGATGATGCACATTTTCAAAGACTGGTTCGGCAAGGACATCACTGATCACCTCACCAGGTATGAAGCTGGGTCGGAGGCCAACATTCTGGACTATCTCATTACCGTTTATCGGAGAACAGACCCTGAGAAAATGGAACACTTTGGCCTGACTGAAGAGATTATCACCAACGGAGTGCATGATATGTTTGGGGCGGGCTTTGAAACCATGTCTGCTGCTCTACAGTGGGCTATCACGTTGATGATCATCCACCCTGACGTTCAGCGTGAACTACAGACCGAAATTGATACCGTCATCGGGCGTGATCGCTTCCCAAACACGTCCGATCGTGGACAGTTACCCTTGACAGAATCCTGTCTCTTGGAAGTTTTCCGTTACTCCTCGGTCATACCGATGACCATCCCACACAGCACAACTAAAGATACTGAACTAAATGGGTACTTCATTCCTAAGGACACTGTGGTATTCATCAACCTTCACTCAATGCACTATGACGAAACCACGTGGGAAAATCCAGAGGAGTTTCGCCCTCGTCGCTTTCTTAACAAAGACGGTCTCAGCTTGGATCCTGCCAAGACCATCGGCGTCATGCCATTCGGCGCCGGTAAGCGCCGATGCATCGGCTCAGAACTTGCCAGGTTGGAATTCTTCTTGTACTTCACTACCTTGATGCAACAATGTACCTTCGACGCTGCGGACGGAGAAACGCCCAAGATGGAACACACGCCTGGGCTTGTGCAAAAGCCCTTGCCGTTTAGCATGACCATTCGCAAACGGGACAAGGACCTGGCATCCTGAAGAACTCACAGAAACTCATGAGGTTTGAACAGTAACTGCCTGTTATATCCCACTTTTGAGGAATACTTTAAAAAATCGATGAGAAGCAGTTAGTCAGAACTTAAAAGAACGGATAATAAAACGAGTTCAGAATTTGTGAAAGCATTTTGGATGGTTTATATACGTTCTTTTAAGAACCACACCTCGTCCAAAAGAGATTGATTCCATGGTGTACCCGCAAACCCATTTCTCATGTTTCATCCACCATGCAAAGCTTAAAATCTTACTTATTTATATACGTTATTTGCGTTACCATTAGAATTGATTAATCTTTGGATGATTCGAATGTGTGAATTATTGGCGTGCTGCAGATACTGGCCTTCTGCACCACCATGCCCTGTCATAAAACATTGATTTCGGCATGCACTCTGTAATCATTGCGTCTTTCGAGCAGTGATTTCATTAATAAAAAAGCGCAATGTGAGTAAGTTACAGC